CTCATTGAGGGAAGTTGTGACCGTTCTTATCCTCAGGACTGGACTGTGAGGTTCTGAGGGGTAGACACAGGTCAGTGGCTGTTTCAAACAGTGCTGTCATTCGGGGGCAGTTGAAGTCCATATGTTTTATGGCGCCTCTGGAATTTAAATTTTATGAATTCTTTTCTTGCGTTTTGGCTTATTTATCAATTGGCTTGTGAGTTTGCTAAGGTAAGGGCTATCTTATTACCCCATCTAGTTCTGAAAAATCTGCTTCAAAGAAGCACTAACTAGATTATGTCTGTTGCACAACACGCAGTAATTCTATTACAATATTGAAGATCGAGTCACATTTCAAATCTTGGAATTTCAGTGTGATTAACGAATGAACCCACTGGCAGAATATTCCTCTGCATGAGCAAAGTGCCTTCCTCGACAAGGTGAAGGGGCTGAGTCTGGGGCCTGTGTCATCTTCCACAGCCTACAAGGCTGTCTGCGACCTCGAAGGGCTGCACAGCACTCAGGGCCCTGGGCAAGGCTGTTTGTGTTGTTTCCAGCTGATGAAGAAACCCAGTCACTGCAAAGTTAACATCTGAAGAACCCAGCAATGTTTTCAAGATAGCTTGCTTTTCATATATGTATATTTCTATTAATTTAAAAAAATTTTTAAAATGAAAACAGAAGAAAAACAATGATGCAGAATTTCAAATTAACAGATTAATAAAAGTTAATATGTTGCATAGTATTTTCAAAGTAGTTGCTCAGATTACAAGATATAGGCGTGAAAAAATGATCAAACAATGAAAGCACATTTTTTTGATGAACCAACAGATAGTAGTAGTATAATTATCTATCTGTCTATCTATCTATCTCTAGTGGTTGATTGATTGTGTCAACTTGAGACAGTTAGAAGCTAACTAAATGGGTTTAGCAATTCTACACCCAAGGATGTAGAAGAAGACCCACCCTAGGGTGGGTTATCACCTCGAGGTATAAAAAGAGAGGAGGAAGGACAAATCCATGCCATTCTTGGGAGAAGCTCCAGTCTTGGCCTTTGGTTTTGGACCTCGCCTCCTGGCTTCCAGTACAGACTCTTCAGCTTTTCATCACAGAGCCTTTGGCCTTCTGTCACGGACCCATCAGCCTGCTGGTGTGGACTTGCACAAGACACTAGGGTGAACTCCAGATTTTGGATTGAATCCTTCAGCTTTCAGTGCATAGACACCCTCTGCATGCTTCCTCATCAGACTCTGTGACTGACTGTCGTAAGCCAATCTTGTTGTTTCTGTATATCCGGGTTATATCTGTTCTCTCTAGTAAAACCCTGACCAATACAGAAATTGGTACCGAGAGTGGGGTCATTGCTGTTATGTTGCCTGGCCATGTGACTTGAGAGCCTTAGAAATTAATTTGAAAATATTTGAGAGATTGGCCAAAGAGACAGCCCCTGTGTGCTGTATTACTTTGGAAACTCTGGTCGGAACCTGGAAGATCAGAGTACTGATGGAAATGCTGCCAATTAAGATGAAGCTTGGGAGGCTTCTGTTGGGAAAGACTGCAATGTCTGCTGGAGTTCAGGTAGTATATTGTGCTTTAGATGAAAGTTGGTCTTCTTGTTTGTATTTAGAGATATTACCTGGGTGGCAGAAAAATTTCAGTGCAGTCTACTTTTGGGATGGTAGCATGGTTACTTTAGAGAACTTTTGACCAGGTGTATTTTGAAATTTAGAGCAAAGGGCTAGTAGAGTAATTTAAAATACTTGGCCAAGAAGAAGGCTCCATTGGAACTGTGGGTTGTAAAGATGAAACAGAGAACATGGTTGTTTAGAAAAATAGGATAATGGAAAAATCAAGAGTACATTTGAATTGCAGGAGATTCTTATATTTTAGTCTTGCCATGCCATGTTAAAGTTAATGGGAATCAAGGACTGTGATTGTAATTGTTCTTTTAGTGTGATTTTAATGTTTTATATGTTTGTAACCCAGTTGTGATTTGTCAAAGTACTGTGTTTTAATGTTGAACGTTGGTCACCTTTTAAATGTTTTTGTTTTGATGCAGGAATTATGTGTAAAAAAGAATTGTGTATATATGTAATTGTTTTATTAATGTAACAAATCTGCCACTAAGGACTATAGTTTAAGGAAATGTGTGTGGTTATTAAGTTGACCAGGGGTGGATTGTTATGGTTTGAAAACTAGTGGTCAACCTAACGCCAGCTGGATTACATCAGCATGCATTGAGAGAAGATGCTCCACATGAGGAGGGTTGCCAGGATAAATAGGTGGAGAAGAATTAAGGTGTTGGGAGGGATTGAAGCGTTAAGGAGGCATTGTGGGTTCTCCTACGAGTTGCTGTCTGAGCTGTTGGTTCTCCTGGAGAAGCTTTGGTCTTCACATCAAGCATTTCTTCCTGGCTCCGGAGGGGAAGACGTGTGCTGCCTGGTCTCCAGGATGAACTCGTCACGCTGCTTCCTGGCATGTACTCAACTGTGTTTGTCATTGGAGGAGCTCATGGCCTCCATGTTGCTGAGGACAGCTGTGGTGCCTTTCAGGACAGCCCCGCTCTTTGTTGTGAGTGTGACTTCTCGGCTCCAGTGTAGACCCCTCATCCCACTAGCACAGCTCCTTCGTCCTGCTGGCATGGACTTTCTGGCTCCCACCACTGACCCTTGGGTCTTCCTGGCATGAATCTGTAAAAGAGACTGGCATGAGTCCTTCTTGTGGGCTCTGGACTTCCAGTTGGACTCATGGAGGCGTTATCCTGAGCTCTGGGTTTTTATCTGGACTCATGTGGGACATTGCCGTGGGGTTTAGACTCTTGACTAAATAATATGTGTCATTGGTGTTGCAGATAGATTTCCTGCATTCTCCTGTGTTACCTTCCGGAGACCATTATAAAAATATTATAAACTCCATGTCCTGATCTGAATTGTTCTCTGTGTACAGTCCCTGTCTACAACACTATCTATCTTTTTTCTTTTTTTCCTTCCCCCATCCCAGTTGTTCTTTCCTTTTGAATGGTTTCTTTCTATTTCACTTTCAATATCTGTCATACATTTTGGATCTTATTTACTCTCCCAGTCTCTTACACTAGAGAGACAATACAGTGTTTACACATGAGAGTCTGATTTATTTTGGTTATGAGTATGGTCTCTAGTTGTCTCCATTTACCTATAAAAGCCTCGAGCTTATCCTTCTTTATAGCCGAGTAGTACTCCATTATATAAAAACACCACATCAAAGGTGACCTTTAACTTAGCGCTTCCTGTCTGCTCCTCTCATCCTGCTGGGTGACTTTGCTGCTCTTTGTTGTCAATAATAGTGGGGAGGGCAAGAGCAATGGTTGCTTTCAGAACAGAGATGACTGAAGATCTTTCGCAGGTCTGTGTTCATTTCTGCTTGGGTATTTCTGACCCTCAGTGTGTGTAAGGCTTGTGCTGCCTCCTTTAGATTCTGCCCACACATGTCTGTGTGATCGAGGTGTGGGGTTGTTGGAGAAGAAGGTGGGTTGTGCTGGGCACTTGGTTGTCCTTTAGAAACTGTTCCTTGCTGTTTCCCGTGCAGTCTTCCCGCATTTACAGTGTCAAAGTGGGAGGAATCGGGGCTCCTAGTGCCACCATTGCTGCTCTAGAGACTTCAGCAGCAGTGTGATTTCCATAAATAAGACCCAGCAGCCTCCCCATGGTCACGTGTCCTGTTTTGCATAGACTGTCCCCTGAGAAATGTCTCTCATGGGCAAGGGGAGCCCCAGGGGAAAGAAACCAGCACAGCCTCCATACCTGCAAAGTAAACAAAACGAGGTTTCAAGGCTTCGTAGCTTCTCCTGTTGTCATCGAGCTAGATAGAGCCCAGAAAAGCAAGGCTTGGAAAAGTGATTGAATTCTGGCTTAGGATGAAAATGCTTCCATTGAAAACTTTCCAGAACAACATGTACTTGGCTCCGTATTAAAGAAAAATTCTTTGAGTGTTTAAGCCAAATGACCCAGCAGGGTTGATAGTGTGAGGCATATTTCACAGTTGTATAAATATTTAAAACTGTTTGCTAGGCTGTAAAGCAAAGTAAATTAGGTTATTTTCGAAAACAAAACAAAACACTGCACAATGAAATTAACCTGCCCACTTTAACTTACTGGGGAGCCCGCCTGGTCATCCCTGGCTTCCCTTCCAACCCACTTGTCCCTGCCCCTCTGCTAAGTGGGAATCTCCAAGAAAGAAGCATGACGAAGGCTTGCAACTTGGAAAACAAGGCTGGTTTCCATTTCGGGAGGTTGCAGAAGTGACTGCTGGCCTCACGCTATCGTGCCGCAGGTGGCCCTTTCCACGGGGCCACGGGCCCATTTCCAGTGGGTGCCGTGGCTTTGCCTCATAAGCCCCCTTGAACTGGGGGCTCTGACTGTGGGACTTGGTGGGAATGTGGGGATCCATGGACTTCCAAGATTGCTGCAGGGGCGGTCGCCTGCCACTGCCCATTCGGAGCCACTCGGCCCTCCTTCTGCCGCAGCGCTGGGGATGGTTTCTCTGTGATCTTTCCGGGCTTCTTTTCTCACCCCTTGTTTTTGCTCTCTCCAGAATTTTAACTTTTCCCTTTTACTTGCATTTCAGCTGGCACCCTGTTCTGCTCCACTTGTAACTGTCTTCCATTCAGGTCCTCCCTGAGACAGTGACCCTGGATGGTTCTGTCTCATTCATTATAAAGAGTTTGAAAATCTTAGCAGCAGAATTTATGGAAGACCATAGCTATTGCCTAAGCTGGCAGTGGAAAAGGGAACTTGGCCAAGAACCGGGCATTTAGAGTAGCATCCAAAGGTGCCATTAGCTCACTGGGTTCCCTCGGGCAAATTCTTTAGCGCTCTGAGCTTTGTCTCCAGGCTGCTCCTGGAAAGAACTTCATTAGGGAGGAATTTCCCATCCTGGCCCAGTCTCACCTGCTTCACATGACAACCCTAAGTACGTTTCCTGGATTATATGTTTGGTTCTTCCCCATTTTTGAAAACAAACACTGATTTTGTTTTTGTTCTCAGACTGCAGAATGAAAAATGGATGAATGTCAAAGTGGGAGACATCATTAAACTCGAAAACAACCAGTTTGTTGCTGTGAGTATTTGACATTGCTTAGAAAACTTATCTCAGATTAAAATAGCAAATATAATAGATTACTTACATTGGCAAATTTAGTAAATTCATACTAACCTGGAGTGACTCAGGAGGGAACAGTAATGTGTTTTAGTGCGAAGTCTCGATTATAAACTCTCCTGAAATTCGTATTAGCTTAGGATTTCAATAACATCATAAGTCAGACGAGACTAGGTGATGAGCACCTTACTTCCTTAGGGACCTTTTACACTGGTGGATGCAATTCTAAATTCGGATATCAATCATTTCATGCACTCAGAGTTTTAAAAATGCCTCTGAGTATCTTAAGAAGATTGTTGTCAAGTATTTCTGAATACCATACCTTAATACTGTAATTTTTTTTGTGTGTGTGTGTTTTTCCTTTTTATCGGTACCGGGGATCGAACTCACGACTGCCTGCTTGCAAGGCAGGCGCTTATGCTACTAAATCCCCAATCCCTTAATACTGTAATTAGTACTATTAATTTTGCAGCATATTAGAAAAATCATAAGCTAGAGATACTGTATGTTCCTTTCTGAAGAATCAGAAATGCTTATCGCTTGTGCAAAATTAATTTACTAAATATTGCTATGCATATCAAACATGCTGTAATTTATATTTTCAAGCTAACTAGATATTATAATTTTCTTAATAAAAATTCAGTTTGATCAGTGAAATGTACACAACTAACTGTAGTTCATATTATTGAGGCAACAAAAGCTGTGCAGATTAGAGGCTAAAGTTCAATTGACTGTCTTAGAGTTTATATCAAATATATATTATATTATTTATGGAAATTTTTGTGCTGAATGTATTTTTGTGAACCAAGAGTTGTTCATTAAATCTGAGACAATGTATAATAGGGAGAAATGATGACCCCAAGATCCACTTACAGGATCAACAGCCCAGTTAAGAACCTTCCACATTCACTTCCAAAGCGCCTTCCTCTCTGAGCTCTGTGCTCGCCCACTCCTGGGAAGAGCCCGCAGGAAGAAACCCCTCTGGGACAGGCCTCCGAAAGAGTTCCCCCTTGAGGTGGAGGAATGCTTATTTCCCTGGCAACCTCAATGCCTGAAGGATTAGCCGGGAACCAAAAATAAGCAGGAAGGTGCCAGGTGGTTGAAGCAGAGGCATCCCTGTCCATGCACCATGGTTTGGGCCCCATGCATGTAGGACAGTCCTGTGAGGTTTGCCCTGTGAGCTAGTTACTTTTATTTTAAGAAATTTAAGTTGCTGACCCAACAAGTTTTCCAGCTCCTTAAAGATTTAGAACTCTGCACAAGAAGTGGCGTCAGACCTTTCTTGTGGGTGGGATGGAGGCAGATGCTGAAGGTACCTCTCCTTAAGGGACCAAGGCAAACGCTTCTCTTTCAATGCCAGGGTTTTTCCCTGTGTTCAGTCTGGGTGCTGCCTCCTCTCCCTTCCAGCCCTCACCTGCTGGGGTTCTCTGTTTGAGCCCACCTTGACCACAAGGTCCTGGAAGACAAAGCGCAGGATGATTCCTTGGTCTCTAAGGACTAGTGTCCTGTGGGGTCATGGAGGTGTCTAGTAAGTGCTGTTTGGATGAATAAATATCAATCTTATAAGAAAGGAGGCAGATAAAAAGGAAAATTGAATATAAATTCTCCAAATTTAGAATGTTCTGTATCATTGGGATAAAGAGATCTTTCCTTCCTGATTTAGGAAAAATTGCATACATATATTCAGAATATATTCTTTAAGAAGAATGTGCTACAGGGAACTTATTTTAATTTTACTCTCATGAAAATTATTATAGGATGATCACAGTGAAAGTTTTGGTGCTTCTAAATTGGTATGCTTAACTTTCTTGTGGAAGGCATAACCAAATACCTCTGGCCACTCATATATTCTAAATGGTGCTAGAGGAGATATAACGTAAGTTATATGTCATGCAGTTTTTAAAAATTTTACTTGAAATTGAGTTTTTCAGGGGCAATGCTAGTTGTGTTTCTGTTTCAGGTATTGATATTTCTCAAAAAACTAAAACTAAAAATTGCATTTTACCCAGTTTTCCCCTTGTAGGTATCTTCTTCAAAGAGTTAGAGACATCATATTATAGAAATACATGAATACCCATGTTTATAGCAGCACAATGCATAATAACTAAATCTTAGAAGCAGACTACACTTCTATCAACCATGATACATGGATAAAGGAGTACTACTCTGTGTATAAAGAATAAATCTGAGTCATTCGTAGGGAAGTAGATGCACATTGAGACTATAACGTAAAGTGAAATAAATCAGCTGCACAGTTTAAATAATCATATCATTCCTCTAATATGGAAAATCAAAGTATAATACATTAAGGAACACAAGATAAGATAGATAACAGGAAACAGGAAGATCTTTGCAAATGCAAAGAGGACCAAGAGATGGCAGGCAGGGGAAATAAAGAGAGTTAAGATGTATTATGTGCATGTACCAACTCCTCACAGAGGATGCGATTGCTACACACTGTAAACATTCACTGAAGAAGACAAACAAACAAAACAAAGTTAAAAACCCAATAGTTAAAAACAAGTGCCCCATGGAATACTCTGATAGGAGTGAATACTAGCTTAGTCTCTTTTGTTCGCTAATACTACACCCTAGTATCTTCATCTATCAATTCTGTGTGGGGTGAAGAGTTCGGAAAAGCAGGACTCAAGTCTGAGTCTCAAAAATCAGTTCCATAGGGCAGATCAGTAACAGTGGTTTAAATATGTATCGCACAGTTAGACAAACGCCTATGAAGTCCCGGTGCTGTCCAATAGAAGTTTTTGAATGGAACCTAAGATTCTGTGTTTGTGCTACCCAGTGTCCTACCCAACAGCCTTTGCGGTAACTGAGCATTCAAAAATGTACCTAGTGCCATGGAAGAACTGAATTTTGAATTTAGATTTAAATGATGACTGTGGCTTGTGGCCACCATGTTGGATATGGCGGAGGTGACCTTTGATTGTGGTCACATGAAGGGGTCAGATGTTTATGTTTCCTCCGTGTTCAATTAGAGGGATGACACCAAGGTAGCTCTGCCAGTGACTGTCCCCATGCTTATTCCCATTGTCTCGGGAAGATGTCTCTGATTGGTGGATGGGGTGGTGTGCGGGAAACAGAGACTCCTTACTTTTTGGGCTTTTCCTGTGTCCAGAGAATACACTGCTCCTCTGTACCATGGATTTTACAGGAGCAGATCCTTTGGTGGGTTAGTGGGAGGACCAGGCGAGTTAGAAGCTACAGTGCCTATGGCGGGGTAGCCTGTCTAACGGGGTGAAGCATTAGCAAGCTCATTCAGCCCACAGCCCCAGAGCCTGGTCTCCAAAAATGTTACTTATAAAAAGATGGTATTTTTGACTCTGTGGTTCTGTTTGACTCCTACCACCATAGCTCTCTTGATTTGAATCTCTAGATAAGAGAGACAGGGAGTCTTCCAAACCCCTAAAACTCTGCAGGGCCTAAGGATTAGGTCGTTTTGTTCAAAAGTTTTCCATATCTAGCTGCTCAGCACTAGAAAACTGTGTTCAAGAGAGTGAGTGTTCTTACAGGTGCACTGCTGTGACAGCTTCAGAGATTTGACAATGCCATCTGTTCAGACTTAGCATTTACACCTGGATTTGTGTCTGTGGAGCAGTGAATTTTAAGCAGGGACAGGTGCTCACCTGGAATTGCCAATTCACTGATATACATGCTCAGAAGTTACTGGTTTTTGTTTTTTCTTGCCCCCCACAATTTTTAAAATTTTAAAATCTAAGAACAGTCTCTGGCTGACCTTTCAGAAGTCCTGTTTTTATTTTGGAACCAGGAAGAAGGCAGAGCACAATTCAGATATCACAGTAAAATTGACTTACATTAGAAGAACCAAACCAACCATTAGGAAGCACACTGCAGAGCTCTCGGCGCCCCCAGAGCCCTGCACCTGGCCCAGGAGTGGCTTTCCCTTTTCCCTTTTGCTCAGCTTTTCTTAGGCAATGGTAGAAATAAACGCCTCCTGGATAAGAACGCACTTAAACACTGTGAGGATATAGCTGTTTAATTTGTTCAAAAGTGCCCCCACCTGAGATATTCATGTTTCAGGTGTTTTCTTCGGCTACATTCTTTTTTTTTGGCTTTAAAATTAAGTCATTTTTCAATTACAGAAACTAAAAATTTTTACCTTTCAAAAAGGCTAGGCCTAGAGAGATTAATTTGACCTAAATGCTAGGCAGGCTGGGCTTCCAGAAGAACTGTTTTTGTGGTTTAATTGGCCTCCTCATTATTTTATATCTTACGGCGTCAAGTCAGAGTCATTAATTTTTCCAGCCTAATTGCTTTAAATAAACTGTATCTATGTCCTGCTTTACATGTACCTCATATGCCTAGGACAATGTAAAGCTGGGCATTTCTGTGGAAAGAGTTTGAAGGTTAGCCCAACCCCTGTTAAGAAGGGCTGTATTGTTACAGTATGCAAAGGCAATAAATTATCTTCTACATTTAAAAACAAGTGAATGGGCAGTGGTCTGTTTATAGCAGTTAGCAGTTCAGAGGGATGAAACATTCAGACAAGGGTGTCTCTGAGGAGGAGAAGAGCCTGCTTTGATGCCAGTTATTTTCCTTCCCTCTTCTCCTCTCTTTGATCACCATCTTTTTCTTATTCTCAAATTAATTTAATTTTAAGGATCCAAACCAATGATGTTTCTATGAATATTTTAGTAGATATTCATAAATAAAAATGTTGCTCATAACCTTACATGCTTGCATTTTTATGATTGGATTCTGATTTTCAACTTGTAATGCATGAGTTATTTATAATTTTTATTTTTATATTAAAAAAAAAGAATACACAGAAAAAAGACGATGAGACTGGCTTATGAAATGGAATACAAAAGTGATGCTCGGGGCTGGAGATTTAGCTCAGCAGCATAAGCACCTCTGCCTTGCAAGCAGGCAGTTGTGAATTCGATCCCCGGTACTGATAAAAAAAAAAAAATAAGCAAAAGTGATGCTCAAGGTAATGCTACAAAAGTCTGTTCCTGAGCTCATGGCCCTGCTATTCCAGTATTCTTGTACCATTGTAGTTTTGATGTTGAGTACCAACAAGGCAAAACAAAGCAAAGTGAAGCACTCTCCATGTTTGGTAGCTGTGTTCTGCTGATTTATGAACCCACCAGAGGAAGGAATGAACATTTTGGAATCAGAAGTACTGAAGGCTAGGTCCAGCTCTGCAATTGAAGCTGTCTTTTTTTTGGGGGGGGGTACCGGGGATTGAACTCACAACCTTGCGCTTGCCGGGCAGACTCTTATGCCTCTGAGCTAAATCCCTGGCCCTAATTGAAGCTCTCTTCATGAAAGCTATCTGCGTGAGTCCACCAGTGTGGGCCTGAATCTCTTGGGGCCTTGACTTCCTCAGTTAGATGTGATGACTCTTACTAGAACTTTACAAAGACTGTGGGCTTTGCATGAGTCAATTTAGTTCACCTGGGCCTGCTGGGGGAGTCCATTCCCTCCTCATTGCTGGATAGATGCAAACTCCCTCGTGCATATTTTTAATACCCTGGCAACTGGGTTATCCACCACAGGGTTGTTGTATGAAAAACCTAATTATGAGAGATGGTTTCATAAATTCTTAAAAGATGACATAGCTTTATAATGTTATCATTTTTTGAGGTTTTGCTTCCTTTATTATTGAACTCAGCAAACAAATCTGCCCAATCACCCTCTGAGAGCTCAACCTTGGTTTTGAGGACTCTGATATTCAGTGGGCCCTTGGATTCATTCAGATTTCCTCTCACAGAAATATCTATTGCAGGTTTCCAAGGGGCAGTTGCTTGGCCTTTCTGTTGCCTCTGATGGTTAGGAAGGGATGGCCTGCCGTGTGCCCCTCCAGGCAGGGTGTGGGAAAAGGCAGAAGAGAATTGATAGGATAGAGTACAAATTGAGGCTGTCTTAGTTATTTCTCTCATTGCTGAGACAAAATACCTGACTCCCAAAGTTAAAGGAGAAAAAGATTTATCTGGATCACAATTTGTAAATGGTTCAGTCCACAAGCAACTGGCTCCAAGGCAGGGTGGCATGGCAGAGGAGCATCACAGAAAATGGTTCATGGTGCCCACAGGGTAGCAGAGCAACAAGCAGTGTCCCTTACACTGTATCTACGTTAGGGTGGTGCCGATCCGACCAGTGGGCTGATTTACTAACCTCACACCCTGAGTCCTAGTGTCAGACCCTCCAGATTGAGCCACCTCTTAAAAAAGCCCTATGACTGCATGAGGCTTTGAGGGGGCATCTAGACCCAAACCATAACAGGGATCTATCAGGATAGTCAGCTGCTGCCTGGCCCATCTATGGGTTCAGGTCATTGTTTCTTGGCCTGTTCTTTACTCCTGCTGTGCCTCTACCAGGGAATTCTGCTTTCTGTGGCTTCTGGAATGTTCCATGCCTTCTGGGCTCTTCCTGCTATTGGTTCTGGAATCTGCTTTCCATTTCTTCTGGAATCTTCTATGATGCCTGTCTTTAGTGACTAACACGATGTGTTCTCTCACTCACACTTGTCCCATTTGTTAATAAACGCTGCAGAGTCCTTAGCTCGTCCTGCCTTTGCTAAACTATATACAATTCTCGAAGTTAGGGTTTTAGTGACCTGCCTCCATGCTTCAGTCTGCCTGGATCCGAATCCTGGCTCCCTGACTTCTTAACCACTCAGCCTGCATCAGGTTACTGAGCTTCTCTGGGTCTTGCTTTCCTCAGTTTGTATAGTGGGGATGGATCACAGCAGGACTTACGTGACAGGATCTCTGTGACATGCTCAGCTTATAAAAGTCCTCCAAATATTTGCTATTGTGTCCTAAATACCTGTAGCTGGTACACAATTTCTGGATCAAGCAGTAATTGGATCTCCAGAGATTTCCTGAAGGGATCAGCTGGATGAGGTCTGATCTGGGAGACTTGGAGTCCTGGGCCTGCTAGGTTCTAAGACCACTCTTGGGTTGCTCCAACTCTTGGCCCAGCATATTCTGATCAAAGGGTGACCAGGGACTAATGGGACTGTACCCTAATTCTTGTGCCTTTTCCTTACCGGAAGTATTCCTGAGAGCAGGAAGAAGCAGTGGGGGCTGACTGCAGGCTGGTGAGCAAGGAGGGGGCGTCCCTGCCCAATCTGCTCCTCCTTGCTCCAAGCCTTCAAGGGAGAGGTGAATAGAAGGGAGCATCAAGGCTCAGCAGAGGGAGGAGAGGAGGAAGGGAGGATGAAGGAGCAGGAAACAAGAGGAAGGTAGAGAGGACATGGAAGAAGAGGTGACAGTGGAGAAGACTGGCAGAGGCGGGGAAGGGAGAAATCCCAGGTGCCCAGGAAGAAGGAACAGGAGCCATGGGGCTGGAACCCACGGGACTGAGACTGTCAGCGTCTAGGAGGTTGGCTCCTCTCTCAGGGCAGAAGCCAGCTGCCAGGTGGCAGTGGTGCCCTGGTCACGTGTCCCCAGCCTCCCCGTGGTTACCATGAGGTACAGCAGCACTGGCCCACTTTCTCTGCAATGCTGGGTATGAGTAGTGTATTTCTGTGCGTGACAACTGTGTTCATTCACGGATGCGGACAGTTAAGAGTATTCTGATTCCATTTTAAAAATGATCCTTGTAAGCTTAAGTGGGGAGAATTATAGGCCCCAAGAGCTTTACTCTTGCCTGCTGCCAGGGTGACGCCCGGATGCAGTGAGATTTTTTTAAATTTTAATTTTTATCGTTACATGTTTGTAGTACGTAATGTTTACTTTCTTCGTGGTGAGTTGAAATGTGTACACGACACAGTTTTAATTCTTTTTTCATCCCTCCACTTTCATCTTTTGGTCCCCTCTATTTGGCAAAGATCTGTCTCCTGATTTCCTATTGTCTGTCTTTTATTTTACTCTTTAATTTATGTGTATTTGGAGTTTTCATATAAGCGAACGCAGGTTTATACTTCAGATGTGAGCGATAAGATCAAGATGAATTTTCCAAAAAAAGATGTTTCCTTTTTAGATTGAATGGGTAATAGCTGGCTGGAAGTGGCGTGTACTTTTGACACACTTTCTGTGTGGACTTGTTCTGCTTATACCGTGATGTAAGGTGAGAAGAGAATTTCTGCCCGGGCCGGGCCGGGCCAGCTTCTGAGGTTTCATTCAGGGTTAAGAAGGACCCATTTATTTCTGCAGAGACTTTTGCAGATCAGTTTTATCCTAATTTAGACAAAACTACATGCATACACACAGCTATTTTTGAGTTGGAAATTTAACAGCTTGTGACAGTGAAACCAGTAGAATCTTAAGTTAACCTCTAAGACTTGAGAATGAAGCAATCCTAGTATTTTTTAAAAACAAAGGTAAGACAATGGCATGGATGTGGAATGCTAAGTATGCATTTAGACAGCAAGAAAATTGCCAAGTTAATGCCTGAAAAGAAGTTGCTGAAATTTAAATCAATTCTTTGTAGGTATTAACCTTTTGAAATTCCATAAAGCACTTATTTTTAAGATAAAATTTGAAAGTTTAAATCAAATAAAACAGATGCCATTTCCTACTACAGAAACTGAATTCTATAACAGAGTATGATAAGTAATTTCCAGATCTCCAATGGGCATTGAAATAAAGTGATCTCTTTTTAAAAAAGTCAAATTTTTCAGTGTCTGGACTTCTTCCACTGCCTTTTACTATGTTTTCTATTCAGTCTTACTGCCTTGCCCAGGGCCCCCTTCCCTTCTCTTTCCCATTCCCTTTCAGGTTTTCCTTACTGTTTTCTGTCCTCTTCTCTATTTTCCTATCAGCTTGCCTCTCAGTATTTCTTTTTCAGTTTCCATCTATGTCATCTGTCTCCCCACCTACACTGCCCGGCTCCCTGCCTTTAGCTGACCATACTAGGTAATCAGCAAGTATGCATAGGAATACATAGGAATACTTACAATTACTTAATTGGATAATGAGTTACATTTTCCATTAGTAATTATCAAAGCAAAAAAAAAAATTGAACCAAAGCAAGCAATGATCAAAAGAGGTAAAGCAAGTGGCTATGAATGGACATGCTATTCCCAGTCCTCCTGGCTTCTGCTGGGGTCAGAGGTGGGCAGAGACGGCTGGGCAGTGACCCGGAAGTAGCTCCGAGTGTCCCTGCTGAGTGTTGTTCCAAGGCTCAAGGGCTGATTAGCAGTGGAAGGTGATGAACGAAGCTGCCTTTCAATCCATCTTCCCTTCTTAGTATCCTGTGCTATGATTTCTTAAAACAGGCCGATCTGCTGCTTCTATCAAGTAGTGAACCCCACGGTCTCTGTTACATTGAAACTGCGGAGCTTGATGGGTGAGTTGTTAAATCAGAATGATTAATTAGGGTTATTTTTTTTTAATTTATGCAGTCTTTAAAAACAGGGCTCAAAACCCATCCTTTATTTTCTTGGAAGAAATAGGAATCTAAGTCATAAAAACTGTGTTAATTATTTTGCAGTCATTTTGAAAACACATTTGCTCTTTAATTTACCTGGGAAATTCTTTTCGCTTGAGTTTATTTTCTTTCAGAAACAGTGAACTAAACAAGTGTATATGAACAAACTACACAAGGACTTTTGGTGAAGTTCCCTCGAAGCTTTTATTTATTTTAATTTCAAGTGATTTTCTAAGGAAAATGCAAAAGGTGGAGGTCGAGATCCTTGGAGGAAGAAGGAACTAAAAGAGACTTTAGGAGCCATGACGGTTTAAGCTGGAGAGTGAAGAGAGGAATGGACCATAGCGCCGTTTGGAAATTGACATTAATTTAGCATTTAGTTATAGACAGTGTCGCAGTTCTGTTTCAGAGGACTTAATTTGTCTGGAAAAAATATTTACTGTGTGATTATATTATAAAGACACTACATATGTGTGTGTTCATAAATGGATTTTTATCATTTTGTGGTGCTGTGGGTTCTATGCAAGCCTTGTTGTACAGACAGTGAAGACAAAGTTTAGAAAGGCTAGAGAATTTTCCTAGAACATCTGGAGAATGAGGGTAGAACTCAGTGTTGGCAATCTGATTAAGGTCAGGTAGTACTTGACCTGTGTGATTGCTTTTAGGACAGTTCCAGAAACAGCAGACAGGCATATACTTGAGAAAAAAGGTCTCATATCAGTCTCTCTCAGGAACCTGGAAATAGCAAAATAAATATAAAACAAGTGGATGGAAGGAGACAATGAAGATAGAACAAAAATAATGAACTTGAACACAAAAAATAAAGAAAATGAATGAAATAAATTTTTTAAAAATAACAATGTAGTTGACCAACCTGTAGAGAGAGAGAGATAGAAAATGAGCCTGAATTATTAATATCAGAGTTGAACCATGGGAATTCACTACAGATCCTGAAAACATCAAATGGATAATGAAGAAATGCTACAAACACTTCTACACACAAAAATTTGACAACTTAGACAAAATGGAGCACTTCCACAAAACAAAACAATACAAAACAAAACAAAACGGCATGTTATGGCTTGTGTCTGAATGTCCCCTCAAATTGTCATGCAGCCATAGGTGGGGCTTTTTCAGAGGTATGTAACCCTGGAATTGATTCATAGTGCAGTGTGAGGCTCAAGGGCACTAGGATTAAGGATGTCAGTGCCACCCGCCCTGAGTAGCCTGGGTAAGAGAAGGGATAGAAAGTGTTATGGTTGCCCCTTGTTTGCTTTTGTTGTCTTCTTCTTGCCATGAGCTATTTCTACTCTGCAGTGACCCCTGTATGCCAGCTGATTATGGGCTGAAACCTCTAGAAACTGCTAGCTATAAACCTTTTCCTTTTTAACTTTGAGTGCAGGATATTTTGTCTCAGCAATGAGAAAAGTAACTAAGACAAGGCTGTATACTCAACGTAAAATAGATAACTCAAATAATCCTATAAGTATTAACAAAATCAAACCTAATCTAAAACGTAAAACCTTAAAACTTTTAGGCAAAATACAGGAAAAAAAATCTTTAAAATTTGGGGCTATTCTAAGAGTAAAACTAGGTTTGACACAAAAATCGCGGTCCATGAAAAGGAAATTTTGATAAACTAGACTTAATTAAAATTTTTTTTCCTCTGTAACAGCTCAGTTAAGAGGGTGCAATAATAAGCTACAGACTGGGAGGAGCTTTTTTGTAAAGCATCTGTTTAACAAAAGGCTTGGCTCTTGAGTATGTAAAAATACTCTCAAAACTCAAAAGCTGAAAAATAAACTACTTAGAAAGTAGACAAATGACATGAACAGGCACTTCACTGAGGAGGACATTGCTCATAAGTGCTGCAAGAGTTGTTCTGCATCCTTAGCCACAAGGGAAGTGAAAACCACAGTGCTGAATCTCTTAGATCACAAAACAGTGGCACAGCTCTGAAGGCTGGCAAGGATATGGAGAAACAGTACCACTCTTATCCAGCTGGTACAAATGTAAATGTTAGTGAGTTTTAAAAGTGATTTGGCAGTTTCCTAAAAACTAAACATACAACGGTGGTAAGACTCAGCAGTTTTACTCTTGGGCATTTATCCTAGAGGCCTGCAGACTCCTGTTTGCACAGGAAACCTATACATGAATGTTTATAGCTGATGGATTTGAAGCCTCCCCCAAATGAAACCGTCACAGATACCCTTCAAGAGGTGAATGGTTAGACAAAACGTGGCACAGCTGCAACACAGGATGCCAGCTCAGCAATGCAAAGAAATGAGCTGGGCCATGCTGGGACGATTCTTCAGGACAAGCTATTGCTAAAGAATCAGGGAAAACACTCTGTAGGATTCCACTCATGCAACATTCCTGAAAAGGTAAAATGATGCAAGTAGAGAACAGATTAGTGGTTGCTGGGTATTAAAAGGGAGGAAAGTGAGTGTGGTTGTAAAGAGCAGCTTGAGGGAGCCTCATTTTGATGGAAATGCTCTGTACATTGGCTGGGTCCTGCATTTTCTACCCTAACCCTTTCCTTGTTTGAAAAACTAAATAACTACAGGTTGCCCAGAGACATTTCTTGTCTTAACCCCAGAGTCTTGGCCCCTGCAGAGAGTTTTAATCCTCCTGGATCCCTAAAATCACACTGCTTGTCTTATTTATTTAAGCCTTTGTTGTACACATGTTTGCGAGACTGAGGATCCAGGTCCCTGGTATGCTGTAGTGTTTGGGGAAAGCAAGTGCACAGAAGCTTTGTGTATTGTTTCTTGAGCTAAGCCTCATTTTGAATCTTATCATGATATTTGGGTAGATTAAGAGTGTGGCAGAACACTGAGGGCATTAATCAGAAGTCTTGAAAAATAATTTTTAAAGCACCAATACAATCTATCTGTGTGATTATTTTATCCCTTTCGCTTTTCCCACTTGAAAGTGGAGGTAGGTATGGGAGAGAATCCTGAGGAAGTAATTCAAGCGAATGAGGAATTTTGATGGGTGCTATCTGGTAGGTCAGAGTTAGAGACCAGGAGCTCATTGGCTGGGTTGATGTGGCTGTTACTGTTGCTCCAAAAGCAGTTTAAATGAATCTGGAGATGCTGGATTGTGAGCCCTGACATCGTTTATTTTCCTTCCCAGCTCTGTTTCTGCCTCGTTTATGAAGTTCTTGGTCACCTTCATGCCTTCTCATTTCTGCCTCTTAGGAATTGACATATTTTGAATGATAAGATTGTTTTTAAACTAACCTCAATTAAACATTCAGTAGTGTATTTCCTGAAGGGAGCCATTTCACCCATGGACGTTGCTGTGTTGGCCTCATATTGTCCTAATTAATGTTATTGTGAATCTCATTTCTAGGAGGTTTGCTTGAATGCTCTCTCTGGTGTCCATTTCCTAGTCCTCTAAACTTGTTGAATTTCATAGGTTAGCGTATAATTCCACAGAGAGGCTTATGCTTTTTTTGTTTTTGTTTTTTACTTTCCGCTTGTTTTTCTCAAGAAAACCATACTTTTCTTGGGGAAACAGTATCCAAGGTGACTGTGATGGGTAGTTGGTCAATATTCCTTGATCAAATGAACCCATTTACATAAAAGAAAAGGCTCTGATAGATGATTTTAAGCTACCACAGAGGAAAAGTTGGTTGAACTCACTGAGAAAACTGGAATGGAAAGCTCTTAAGCCCAAGACAGTAAGGATGTCTGTGGATGCACTGCATCCACACAGACCAAGATGCCACCTTTCCAAAGTATGCATGGCCTTGTAAGCAGTGACTGGTTTCTGCAACCCATGGAGGTTTCTTGGCTCTCTTCATCTAGACTTATGGATTTGTTGGGTTGATTCTCCAAGAAAAATAAAGCCGTCTTCTTTTTTTCATTTAAGATTCAGCTACTGTAAAATTCGCCGTGACCAAAAAATTACAAGAAAAACTCTTCTGCAGATAGCAGAGGCTGGAATGGTACTGGCCTCCTTGGCCTGGCAGCTGTGTGCCTGTTCCTTGTGTGTTTTATAACTCACGCATGTGTCTGAGTAGATTCCAGTGAAATCATATTTATTACGTTCTCCATCCTTTCATATTGCAAAACAGATTACTGTGTTGTGCACAGATATGGGGTGGGTGGGGTGCCAGCTTTAGGAGCTGAGAAGCCCCGGCTCATATCCCCAGGATGTGTGAGAAGTGTGAATGTGGGGCTGGGGAGCAGGGTGGTCTTTGCAGTGCTCTTTGCATGGGCTGCGCCCACCCAGCTGCTTTGGTGTGCTGCTCAGGGGCCGTTCCATATAAAAATTCACACTGTGTCATTCACCTCACAGGGAGACAAACCTTAAGGTTCGTCATGCACTCTCCGTTACCTCAGAACTTGGAGCAGACATCAGCAGGCTTGCAAGCTTTGATGGTAAGTGTTTTAAATAGACGAATAAACAAAAGCCTCAAAACTAAGAAGCAGTGTAAGAAATTAATGATCTAAGGTCAAATTTACATTTTGTTTTACTTGGTAGGAAGACATAAAATTCTCCAGGCATCGAACACTGCAATCTCTTTTCAGGACAAAGAGTACAGGAGTTCACCAAGAGGAGAAGACTTTTGGCCATCTCTGATTTCATTCTCTCCCATCTCGTCCCTGAATCCCACAGTGCTTTTCGTTTGCTTGACAGTGGCTTCCCTAGGTCCCTGTGTAGGCTCGTTGAGAGTAAACACACAGGTCTTTTCCTGATTTCTAGCTCTAGGTGTATTGTCCCGCACAGAAACCTAGCCACCAAATAGCTGATTCCTGAAGACAGATAGGTGTCTTGGCTCATGTATGTCTGTATTTTGCGTGGTTCTGACATGATATCTCAAGGATAGTAAGTGTTCAGGAAGAATTTTCTGATTTATAAATTAGTGATTATCTGTTGCCTTTTATTTAGAGCCATGTTTTATTAATCATGATCTTTACACTGTCCAACTACGTCCTTTCCTCTTTACTATGGTCTCCTTCAGCTTCTGTACTTTGCATCTGTATCTTATACTCTATTGTAAAAGTTGTTCTTAAATATTCATGGAATGGCCTCTACATAGTGTCTCTCCTAGGAATAGCTTCATTTGATCTGTAAGTGACCACAGAGAAGCAAAAATATCTTCAAGAGTCAAGGGAAAAGAGACTCTAACGACAGGGCACTAGGCACCATGATAGGTTGCAGGGAGAATCTTCGTGGCTTTCCCTTAAAGGTCTTTTGCTTTACTCACTTACAATTCTGGCCCTGAATATAAATATTTCCTTACAGTTTGGGATAGGAAAATGTGAATTTAGCATCTTCTCTTCAGTAAGGCCCAGGCAAGTTGAGTTTATATTGTAAAATTCTCCAACACACGGCTCAGCCTTTGAGCTTACAATGCCCACGCTTTGCATTTGCTTGTAAATTGTGTTCTGGAGTTTGTTAATATTTTAACCTCTCTACATGCGTGTATTGTAACAAGTGTTTATGAAGATATGCTTCCAAATTGAGATTGAAGTCAGGGGATTAGCCTGGAAAATCTGAATGGTTCAAGAACTATTTTGATTGGATTAAAACAAATTACAATTTTTCTAACTTTCTTTCAATGAAATTTTACTGGTATGTGAATTCAAGAGCAGTCATTTATATTCATAAATAAAAATACTTACTTAAAATTCCTCACTAAATATTCATGGAATCCTTAAAAGACCACCTAACTATAATTCACCATTACTTTTTTCCTGGCAGAACTTTATACTTGTGAATTTATAAAGAGGTGAAATCGATCAATTTTAGTGTTCTTGACCATCAGAAAAGCAGAAAATGATGACTACATTTCCGTAGGACTTTTTTGTAGGTATTAGCACAGATACTGCCACACCGAAGGCAGTTTCCACACCCTGAAATCTTAGTGGCATAAACCCGAGGAGGTTTATTTCCTGCTCAAGGCACATTCTGGTGTGATGGAAGCCTTTTCTCCCTGTTTCCCTTGTATGTAGACTAAAGACCTTCAGGGTCATATAGCAGGGAAGGGGTGGTGGGATGAAAGAGACACTGAGTTTTTACTGTTCCTTGCTCTATTATTTTGTGAGCTATTATGAGTCACATGGTCTGGACCTAACCACAGAAAAGATTAGTGAACGACAAATACAGATCTTTGTGGACGTCCGTGTCTGTTATGTTCTCTAGAAACTGTGACCAGGATGTCTGTGCCAGGATAACCTGAAGAACCAGGCTGGATTAGGTGGATTTCACATGTGGAATTGTGAGATCGAGGCCAAGTGTTCCCTTTCCAGCAGGACTTCTTGTCCAGTTCAGTCTACCCTGCTTGCCGTTTCTTCTTCTAGCATGCCAGCATCGGGCCTACCATATAATTCATCTGTTTTCAAAGTTTGTTACTGATTGTCCATCTCTGTGTAAGTTACACAAGGATCTTTTGTTACATTCCCTATTCCACACCTGCACACAGTAGGTGCTTAAATAAATCTTTGCTAAACAAGTGAATAAAGGAATGGTTGCAGGTACCAGGGAGGGAGAGCAGGGTCGGCATCAGGTCTTAGCAAGCCAGGCAGAGCAGAGCAAGGATGGGGGGCTCCTGAAGGGTCCTTGCGTCTCTTGAATGGCAGGTGGCAAGGAGGGCAATGTTAATATCTTTGCTTCCGAATCTTTTCCCCATCGGGGCTGAACACAGAGCCCCATTTCAGTCAATGCAAATGGTGCTGTTTGGTCAACATGGAGAAACTCTTTGCCTGCCAATCCCCCATGACCTGAGAAGGCAGGGTAAAGCACTGGCTTTCATTAGCAATGGTCTGAAAAGTACTTCATAAAATTTACTTTTAAAGTATACAAATAATTAACACTTACTAGATGTGATCTGTATTTGCTTCACACAGGATTGGCAGTTTAGCAAATCCCAAAGCAAAATTACTTTCCCAAGTTAAGGCAGTACAGACCTCTTGCTTCTCCTTATTACATGTACTGAAATTGTGGTCACTTTTCAGAGAAGATGTAACGCCAGATTCATGAAGCTGATTTTGGGCTAAGAACCAAGTTTTTGCTAAACTTCCTTTTTCTTTCTTCAATCTTGAGTTGTGGTTTAATCTATCTCAAAGTTCGAGGTAACATGGTATTTTGTAGAATTACTCTTATTAAAGTATCATTTCCTGTTTCCAAGAGAGCATCTGAAGAATAGATGGATGAAGGGAAAGTAAATTAGATACAGTATGAAAATTAGATTTCCCCTGTTAATGGCCAAATTCAAAGGCCAAGAGAGTGATGTAAGACGCAGTAGGGATAAGCCTTTGAAACAGCTGGGGCAGTTAGCAAATTCTGCCTCCTTCCCACGATTTCTCTGGCTTTCATGGGTCCTTTAGTGATTTTCCTTCATTCACGGCTTCCCAAGTCCTCATTTACATGTTGTGATTTCAGCCTTCCTCTGCTTGCTCTCACATATGCATGCCCTGTGTGCGATTCACACACATCATCCAACTTCCCCATTCACTGTTCTCCTCTGTGCCATCTTCCTTTTGTGCCAGGCTTTCAACTCCGATTTCCATCTTTCTCCTTATTTTTCCTACTGGCTTTCTTCTCCCTTCGTCTTTATTTTTATTTATTTTTTGTTTTCATCACACTGTTCGTGTTAATTAGCTTGAAGTCTATTTATTAAGCATCTCCTCAGGGCAAGTGCTAAAACAAAGTATGTAGAATTAGGAAAAATCTCTACATACATTATCAAGTTTCTTTTGATCTTTTTCCTTACCTGTGTCCTCCAACCCCTTTCTTGGGTTTTATCACTTTTCCCTTATTGAAGTATTGGTAGATCTTAGATTTTCTTCTGATGACCAGAAAGACTTCCTCAAGTCGTGGGAATCAAGAGCAAATGTTGCATCTCTGGGATTCAGTTAGATGTGTGATATCAGCTGGAAACGCCTGCCCAGCTTTGACACGGTACAGATGAGAACCGTATGCGAGCCCATCCTTTCCCCTCTTCTAACTGTGTTAAGTGTGTCTTTAAGCTTGGGAATTCTGGGAAAATCTGGGTGTCCTATTATTTTCTATTATTTTTGTTTTTTTTTGTGTTTTTTTTTCCTTCCGAGACTTGCCAAAACACTATGACTAGCACCAAACTACAGTTCCTATCCGTGGCATACCTTTCAAATATCCCAAGACGCAAATGTCCTGTTTTTATTCCTAGACATGTCCCCAACAGGACTGACCCCAAACTGCGGACTCCAAATTGATGTAGGGTCAGAACAGATGAGTTTAGCTCTGGGATGTCGCCCACTCATCTCCCTGCCTCCCCACTTTTGCATTTATGCCTAAGGACAGGGTCTTGCTTGTGACTTTCTTCGACATTGCATGAGCTGATCATTCATTTATTCATTCATTCAACAAATGTAGACCTCATGCAGTGCTGGGGATTTGCCTAGGGGTACAGTGGTTAGTGAAGCCAGGTCTTTCTTTCACAGGGGACCAAGGAGAGAAGACAGATTTGAACAAGGACTCATCCCAAAGAAGGCTTTAAGAGGGAATATTCTAAAGTCCTCAGGCCCTAAAGGTGACGGGCACATGGACATGTGGAACATTGACACGTGGACAAGTGCCCACTATGTATCAGATGTCCTGTTTAGTAATCACACACATTATTTTATTAAGTCCGCACAGTTTTTGAAGGAAGAGGTTATTACTAGCTTCAAGTTGTGCATAAGCAATCTGAGACTCCAATGAACTGAAAAGGGTTCCAGTATCATATGGTTCTAGGCAGAGTCAGAATATGGCCCTTGGAATGTTGGCAAATCTTGACAAAGGGCACAAAGTCTTAGGTCCTAACTGTCAACTGAAAGGCAGCACTAGAAAGTCGGGGCAGCTTAGTGCAATTAGCTAACTAATTAGCTAAACTACTGTAGCCCCACTGGAGCCAAATTAACAACCAGAGAGCATATCCCTCTCGGATGAGGGTGACATGTATGTTTTAAAAATAGCAATGTTTTTAGTGATTCTGAGTGTCAGGATTCCTGATAAGAATTTGCAAAAGGACTGGGCAGTACACACAAGACAGGGATAGGTTTTAGTAGGTAAAAACTACTTCCTTGATCAAGTTCTCATATATAAATTTTTATACTTCAAGTACCTGGAAAAAGTCAATGTGCAGTCAGATTTTATAAGGAAAGATACATAATTTGATCTAATATTATAGCAACTGTAAAAGATTGAGTGCCCTATGATTTTTCATGTTAAAATCTTATGGGAATTGAAAAGCTTTTATAAATACATAACTGGAAATACTCGTCAATTCTACATTTATGAACTGGACATGCATATGCCTTGGGGAAAGCCCCAGATGTAAATTATCTGAATGCGTTTTAAGACTCTTTTGCCTATTTTCACTGACTGGACTGAAATCTGCTTTTTGTAATCCATGACAAGTTTACATATTTTGTGTGACTGTTAATACCGAATTCTGAACCAGAGAAAGGTTGACTCTTTATTCAGGAATCTTTGTGTATTTTGTGGGCCTTTCTAAAGAATAGCATGTGTGTAATTAGAGTACAGAAAAAATAAACATCTTTTAATTTTTTTGTCTAAAAAGGAAATAAAAAGGCTTGCTTAGCATCTTGTGGCTTTTTAAACTTGCCAGATAGCTCTCCCATTCACCTTGTTAGAAGCACAAGCCCAGTAGCACACAATGTATGCATGAGATGTACATTCTATGTAAAGACATGAGGAATAATCCCATTTTCTGTTTGTGCTGACATGGCACAGGTGGTGGTCATGATGGTTGGCTAAAGCCTTAAATGGCTGAAGAAAAAAGGAGCTTTAGGAATAGGAAAGTGACACGCTAAGAAAAAAATACATGTGTCATAACCACCAGGCACCAAGAGTGGTCAATATCCTTAACTTTAAGAAATTCTTAGCTAGAGAAACTCTCGAACAGCAGCACTGCTTTCTTATTTGATGTATAATTTTTCTAAAGAAAAAGTTGCAGTACAGATAGTCCAGAAATATTGCTAATAAGATATGGAGAGAAATTAAGTTAATTTCTTTTAAAAACCATAGAATGTTGGGTACTGAGGTAGGTACTTGAGCGTGAGAAGTTTATCAAGTGAGTAATTAACAATAAACTAGCTGCCTGTTGGAGGGTCAGCATTCATTTGGGCATTTCTGTGTGACTGTAAAGTGGGTGGATCATTGTTGGCTTTCATATCATTTTGGAGAGGCAAATGAAAGATTCTAGTTGCATTATATCTATTTATTTCATTTTTGACATGATCTCCTAGATGTATTACCAAGATAATTTTATGCTTAATTATATATTCAATGAATGGCTTATGTGAGAAAGGATACTGTTCAACCTAAATGGTTTTCTTATCAATGTCAAATTGATCATTTAATGCATCTCTTTCTTTTATCTCTGACATGAAATAGAAAAAAAAAAAAAAAAGGAAAGGAAGGAAGGAAGGGCCCAAGACAATTTTTCCGAGTGCTCCTGATGTGTTATGGTTGGGATCTACTTTGGGTTGCTTCTGATGTGCTCTGAGGCGCTCACCTTGGTCCACTGTTCTTGAATCTGTTTGACTTCCACCAGTTAGTGCACTTAAGCCCACCATTGGTGCTAGACCATTCGATGTTCTAATTTCCTTTGTCATGATTGCCAGGGAACTATATCTACCTTTTCTGTTCTTTTCTCTAATATTTATCTCATCTTCCAACCTCTCTCTTGAGATCATCTGAAAAAATTTTCTTTCTTTTTTTTTTTTTTGCTAACTTCACTTCAGAGAAATTTTCAATCCATCTCTTCTGGAAGTGTTTATTAAGACCGTATCACAAAGATAGTGTGGTAGCTTAGGGGGCTAGAGAGATATGCCCTTCGAAGGAACCTCTTCTTTTTTGGAAAGAGGAAGTAAAGAAATGAGGAAATTTGTGTTTTATAATATCAGGGCTAAGAAGGGGGAAGCTGAGCATTTCTGATCATTATGGGAAAATGAACTTTGGCTTTGTTCCTACCATTTTATTTTGACTGGGCCCGTAGTTAGTGTTTTAATCACTGGGAACACACTCTTTGAGCAAGGCTGAATTGGGGCTTGGCCTTCAAGAACTCCAGCAGATCCCTTTGGCCTGAATGCCTGTTCCTGTCTAGAACCGCACCCTTGGGGTGAGGCCAGGGTGGTTGAGCCCCGGGGCCAGAGAGTGTGAAGCCAGCATGTTCAAGGCCTTTGCCTCCCTGTCGTCTGTGCTTATGACAATAAAAATGATCAAATGAACCTGTTTTTTATATTCCTATTGGCAGGGACCATGTGTCATGTTGTTTTTGCCGAAATCACATTTTGAAAAATTTTTATTTATTTTTAGTGGCCAAGTGTGGAGCCTGAGAAATTGAGTCTTGGGTTAAGGCACTGAAGTAAGCCTTCGGGGCCTATTATTTTATGTAAGGCTTGTGAGCGATGCTTGCCAAGTTCAAAGTTCTACAAAATTCACGAGTAAAGCTGCTCAGTTTCCCTCGACTTCTAATCCATGCTGGAGCTCTCTCCCCTCTGTATTTTTTAAATGCTATCTTTTATGTTTCGGTTTCCCTTGACTTCTGATTGAGTACATGCATTTTAATTGTTTTAAGAGGGAGAAAGTTGTAGGTGCTGAATCTCACTGCTGACCTCCTCATAGCTGCCTTTTGCATTCTTTCCCTCTCTCTTTTTCTTTTTCCCTCCCTCTCCCTCTGTTTCAGTCTCTCATGAATTTGTGTTCATTCATTCTAAAAATTTAACCCTAACTGCAGTAGAAATGTCTGTAGGTCTGATAGTTATGTCTATGACAGCATCCATAAGAGACTGTTTCTGATCTTCTGATCTCCCTCTTTTTTCAATCTAGAGTGCCCCTCACCCCAGAATGTGTATTTTCTGATTGAAATAATGGAACAAATTGATTCATTGGTTTGGAATGGGCTTGGAGTTTCAAAAACTAGAAACATCTTCTTGCCATTATGGGAAAGTTATATGGTGCTGTATAGTTCCCAGGGCTCTGACTCTAATCAAGATAAGAAGCACAGGGCAGCTGAAAGGGAATCACACACACTCTCACAAAGATGGCCAACTCTTGCCATGAAACTGGGTGCATACCATGGTAACCTGTGTGACAGTTCTTACTACATCAAGAGAAAGTTTCAGGACAGTCATTACTTTATAGTTTCAGAGATCATTTGCTATAAATCAGATATAAAGATAAGTGATTTTTAAAACTATTTTTAAGAGAAAACATCTCCTGACTTCTGTAGTCTCTGTTTTGTGTGGACAGTCCAAAAAACGAGGCTTTAAAATATTCGATCGGTTTCCATGTTTGTTCCTCCCAGCCCAATCCTGCATATATAACACCATGCCACCTAAAAGGGAAGGAAAAATGTACTGTATATAAAAAGTAAGGTGGTAAACTAATACTGTGGGCTTCTAAAGAGAGCTCCAGGTGGGCCATAAAGAAGTTTGCCTTTTTATTTTCTAGGGACTGTGGTCTGTGAGGCACCTAACAACAAATTAGATAAGTTCACGGGAGTCCTCTCCTGGAAGGACAGCAAGCACTTGCTCAGCAACCAGATGATCATCCTGAGAGGCTGCGTCCTGAGAAACACCAGCTGGTGCTTTGGGATGGTTATTTTTGCAGGTACTACTTGTGGCCCTCGGTCAGCCCTAGGGGACCCCTTCTTGTAGTGCACAGCAACACAGTCTGTGGGTCTCCAAGTTCAGATGAGCATAGTTCTTTGATTCCATGCCAAGCACTGCTCTGGAGTTGACCTCGGAGGGTGGAGTACCAGGGGAAAACCCACCGTGCCACCACCTGGACATCCTGAATTTAAGTCTGGAGGGTGTGAAGCCCGTGTGCCACAGTGAGTGCAAGGCGCCTGCTGTTGAATTTCTCTCTCCTTCGTCACAGCTCAGGCATCCCTGCTAGCCTGTGGATTCATCAACACATCCCTACGTGAGGGAAGATTATAAAACACGCTTTGCTGCTTGTGTTGTAGTCTGCAAAGGTCAAGCAGCTCTTTTGTGCCAGCTGTTTTGGAGATCCTGAAGTCACTTCTGTTTATATTCTGTAGCTGTTTCTACTGTTTGTAAACAGGACAGTGGGATGTGGAAAGGCTGCAGTGATGGGCCTTGGGGGTCGGGTGGGGAGGGGATGCCCCTGATTTTCCGGTATGCCATTTTTACTTTCTTAGCTGTATTCTATGGATCCGAGGGGGCACCGTCCTGCTAAGGAAGCTTACGGTAGCACCGTTTCATAAAGCCACTCAAATTGTGCTCCTGACTTCAGTTGCCAGCCCTTGATTTTTAAAATCCTGTTTATTGTGACACCAAATTAAGATGTGTTTTGGGTCTGCTGATTATATGCGTAATCAAAACTGGAATGTTTTTCTTCACTGACTTTCCTCTGCAACAACAAATATTCATTAAAGACTCCAAAGTGTTCCAAAGCTAGAAAAGCCCTCCCAATGGCCCCTAAATACTCACAGCTGGTGGGTGTGAGCAAGCTTTTGCTGCTCCAGGCGAAGTATTGGAAGGACTTGGGAGATCCCTAGAAATAAGCCATATAGTGCTTTCATCTGGGGAGGAATTCGGCTTGGTGATTCTTTCATCAGAGGCTTTTATTCTTTAGTCTGGGAAATAAACCTGTGATTATTTATTTCCTTATTTGCATCTTTCTTGCTGAGAAACAAGAGAGGGAGACTTGACCCTAAACTTCCTGTTCCCTTCCTGGATGATAGGGAGACTTCTTTGGGGTCTCCGGCCAGCCTTGTCACGGGGAGGGGTCTGTGGTGGAAAAGTTCGCCTTTGGAGGGTTTTGTTTGGAATGGCTAATTCAGGTCTGTGGTGCCATTACACCGTGTGATGCTGGGACAGCTGTTGTGACCATTGGAGGGGCCCATTCTTCTTCATAAGATTGTCTTATGGTGGGGAAAGGCTCCCGCATAGGAGAAGGAGGAAGGTGCCTCCACAAGTGTGTGACAGAAAGCTCACCATATTGGGTCCAGCAGATCTGGGTACACCAGCTGCAGGGCTTAATCCCTGGTTACTCAAGCTTTAAACTTTGTTTCCTCTGCTGTAACATAGGCATGATAATGGGTACGTGGAGAAGGAAGAAGCGGTGTTTATGCACAGTGGTTACTACTCTGCCACCAAGAAGGATAAACTGGGATCATTTTTGGGAAAATGGATGCGCACCCCGAGAGCATAATATTAAGTGGAATATAAGACATATGAAGTTAAATATTGTATTGTTTCTTTTATATGAGAAACTCAAAGATAAATAAAGAACAAAGTTAATAGGAAACAGGGAATCTTTTGCAAGAGAAGGGGACTGAGGTGGAGGGGAGGGGTGTGGGGATGAAGAAAGGATTGCATGGGTTAATGCCGGGTGTGCGGGTACCAGCTCCCACAGTGAACGGAATCATTACATACTGTAAACGTGGACTGATGAAAACAGAAGAGAGAGTCCACTGTAAAGGCTCATAAGCTGATGCATCTGCAGAAGGGTGGCTGATGGCTGTTACTTTCTTTCCTTGCTGGGGAGAACGGGAGCGCCCTGTTCTTCTGTGATGGGTCCTGGATATGCATTGCTGGGAATCAGCAGGTGGGGCCTTTGCAAAGTACAGAAAGCCTCCACTGACCTGAGTCTGGGCACCAAAAGTAATGGAAACCTTTTTTTTTTTTTTTGTCTTTTTCATTTTTATCGGTACCGGGGATCGAACTCACGACCGCCTGCTTGCAAGGCAGGTGCTTATGCCGCTGAGCTAAACCCCCAGCCCCAGTAATGGAAACCTTGACTGGCAAAGTGGCCAGCGGAGGAATTAATGCTGTTTTGTTCCTGTCAGTGTTGAACAGATGGTGTCTCTGATCTCCTAAGTCTTGGGACATTTGGTTGAGGACCTAGTCCAGGTGAATACCTAGATCTTGAAACAGTGAATTCTTTTGGAGTCACTGTCTTACCTGTTTCTAAGCATTATAAGGGAATGAACTGACAGATGTGGTTGACGTAAGCCCATAACTTGTAAAGATCTGATATGCATCCACAGCAGGCCATAGTTCCTGGTATTGGACTTCCTTTCTGCCTAGCAGAGGGTGAGTCTTGCTTGCGACACTGGGAGCCTCACCCCATAAGGAGTCTCTTGTGTCCAGTATCGTCTCAGTGCACCTGGGTTTTGGTGCTGGGTGTCCCCATCTGCCCCTCTGGGTCTGCTGTCACCCTCTTCCAACCTTTTTTTTTTTGACTTGGAGGCAGACTTGTGTGGACTCCACACAGAGGTTTCATTAGATTCTGGTCTCTAGTTGGACTCTGACTTAGGGATTCCTGGGAAGAGATCAAAGGGAGAAAAGGATTAAGGCCAAGGTATTTGTTTCCCCAGGCCACATTCTTGTGTGGTCATGTCTGGCAGGCTGGGTCCCTCAACAAAAGGTCACCCATCCCCAAAAGGTTGCCAACCCTGCACCCTCTTATCCTAGGTTCCAGAAGCAATCATCCCTGTGAAGAGTCTCCCTGTAAAGATACTCTCCTGAAACTATCCTCGTTCAGGGTGTCATCTTTCCTGTTCAGATCCTGAAAGGGACACAGTCTTGCAAGATTGGCTCATGTAGGTTTACAAATAGCAGTTAAGAGCAAGAGCTTTAGTTAGTTATACTGAGACTCGACTTGTGACAGGACTAGGTTAGTTTTGGGCAAGTTATATTCTTCAGGTTTGGGCTGGGGATTTAGCTCAGTGGCACAAGCACCTGCCTGACAAGTGCGAAGTTGTGAGTTCAATCCCTAGTACTGCAAAAAAAAAAAAAAACAACAACAACAACAACAACAACAAAAAACTTCACGCTTCATTTTGATTATTAGTGAATGGAAGGTTATTGTACCTAATTTGTTGGCTTTTTGTAAGTATTAGCTGCTGTGAAAGATTAAAAGCACATAGGTATATCACCTAAGACCATAGATGTTCAGTAAGTTAATTAATTCACTAAGTTTAGTTACTGAGTGTCTACTACATGAGAGGTATTTGGATACATGTGTACTAGGGATTAAAAATGTCAACAAAATCAAATGCAGTTTCTACTCATGAACGCTCAGTCTCACAGGATAGAGAGAGAGAGAGAGAAAGAGAGAGAGAGAGAGAAAGAGACGTTAATATCAGAAAGTCACAGTTCTTACTGTGATCTCAAAGTGAGATAGGCGCTCTGAACAGAAAGACCAGAGGGCCATGAGTGTGTGATGATGGAGGGAGCCGGTTGGATCTAAGCTGGAGGGAAGGCTTTCCCGATGAATTGGGCACTGAGGTTTCTAGGAGGAAAGGAGGAGAGAGAAAGAGATGAAGTGTGCAGGGAAGGGAAAGAGCTAGCTGATCAGCAGACGCGTGATGCGCCAAAGCCTGGTGACAAGTGAGGCTACTGAAGTCAAAACCTTGCTCAGGCAGGGGGTGGGGTGGGCCACAGAGCACAGAGGACAGAGTTGAAGCTGTGACCGTGGCCATGGAGCTGGGCTGGACCATGCAGGACCTGGTGGTTGCTAGCTAGGATTTTGGTCCTTAAGAGCTTTGGGAACCCATCACAAGTTATTAACAAGTGGGGTGTGTTCATGTTAAATGTGAAAGGTTTACTCTTGAATATATGGTGTTTGTAATGTCTGTGACTATTGATCAGATTCTGGAAAGAGTCCATGGCTATGTGAGGAGAAAAATATAATGACTGGATTTTGGGGCAGAGTGGATGCAAGGAGATGAAGTTACTATGCTTTTACAGTTGAGAGAGGATGGTGTTTTGGGTTAGATGGTGGACATGGAGAAAACCAGAAGCTTTTTAGGAAGTTGAACTGACAAGGTTTGGCGACCAGGTTGGGAGAGTATCAACCATGACTCCTAACCATCACAATGAGAGGGACAGTGGGCTGTTGCTTGGGTTAAGGAACCTGGAAGAAGATCCCTGGCTAGGCTGGACAAGAGCCACTGGTGGGGCCTTAAAGATCCAAGTGGAGATGTCACACAGGTACTGAATACACGGGCTTAAGTATATGCATATATAAGGGGTTACAGGGTCATAGAGCTGGAGATACACACCAGGTCTGTAGATAGTATTAAAGGTGTGGTCCTAAGTAAGATTGCCCAGGCCTGGTGGATTGAGTGAGAAGTGGCAACCTATTGCTGAGTCTAAAAGGATCTCAGTATTTAACACCTGGGCAGAGGATTGAGGGTCAGGGATGGCAGAGTAGGAGCTACCAAAGAAGTAGGAGTAAAAGCAGGAGAACATTGTGAGGCAGAAGGTGAGGTAGAGTGTGTTTTAGAGGGAGAGGACAGGCTGTGTTGAAGGCTGTCAACGCCAGGAAGTCATGGAGGCTATTGGTGATGATCACCAGATGTTTGGGTGTAGAGACTGGCCCCCAAATTAGGCTGAGGCATGACCCAGATGAGGAAATAGGGGTAGTTGACCATGGAAAATTCCTTCAAGGTCTTTGACTCTAAAGGGAAGAAGAGAGATGCATGTAAACATCTGTGGGTGTAGTTGAGTAAGCGCTGACCAACCTTTAGTGGACTCCTTGTTAGTCTGCGTATGTTCCTACGCTGTTAAGGGCCATACATTTTAAATACCAGGCTCCTCTGTCTATGATTTAGCTTTAGAAATCTCAGGCTTTATTTTGTCTTTGTGATTCTTCATGACAGAATCAATCTTTTTCACCCTTAATGTTTTTATGACTTTAATAAACCATTATGAGAAGATACGGGGGGCTCTTTTATACACATCAAGGCAGGAAATAGTGCATTTTGGGGTTCAGTCTGCAACTCAAGACAATGGATTGTTATAAGATCTCCATTTTTGCTTCTCTTTGTTTCTTAAGGAAGGGAAGACTGCCTAGGGATATGCCCACCATTCCCCGGTGTCTAGAATGGTGTGTGATTTCATGTACACTTATTCTCTCCTTTTGGTTTCTCTTTTCTCCTGCTAAGTGAATGCATGGATTAATAATAATGGGAATGCTATAGAAGTCATAATTAAAGTTATAATTAAAGAAATTGCTTCTAGCGTTTTCTCTGTCAAGGAATTTTCTTAGCAATATACTCTAATATTCTGATTTGCTAATAGTCTAATAATCCAGCTCTACAACTGTTCATCATATTCTTAGAGTTCCTTAAAAGGCATTTCATAAATTTACCATGATAATACAAGACTAATTTTTGCCTTACAAAAAGTACAGGTTACCTACGTCAGAGTCACATAAGAGGTTTAACTGATTTGTTGAACTTTCTGGAGTTTTCTCTTTCCCTTTAAAGACACCTCAAAGCTTTCTTTCTTTCTTTCTTTTTTGGTACCTGTGATTGAACTCATGACCTCATGCCTCGTGCTTGCCAGGTAGACACTGATGCTGCTGAGCTAAATCCCAGGTCAAAGCTTTACCTTTTTGGGAAGCAGATCTGGAATTGGTTTCTTATCTTTTATTTTTTGATTTTAGCAGTCTGAATTATGTTTGTTATTTCCTTTTTAAAAAAATATTTCCAAATTCCTTCCCTTATTGAGCTTGTTACCTTTAACTATTTCAGACTGGAAATACATCCATACACAGATTTTTGACAAACAGCATTTCTTAAACTTTACAGCAACAAGTTCTACCTGGATTTATTCGACTGAGAACAGTTTTCTTTCTGTGACCAGGATTATTGTTAAGTCTGTAGTTATGAAGCAGGCCCAAGGATTGGAGATGTAGCACAGAGGTAGAGCAGCTGCCTCATGCATGCGTGATCCTGAGTTCAGTCATCAACGTTACGAAAATAAAAAGCAAACAAACTATGCCAACCTGATGGCCCTTGCTCTTAATACAAATTAAATTATTTTGAAAACCACATTTTCCTTTTCAGAAACATTGGTATGAGTAAGAGTTAAAAACAATAATAATACATCATCTAATTGTTTCAAAGTTGTACTGATTTCCATTGCAGGTCCGGACACTAAACTCATGCAGAACAGTGGTAAGACAAAGTTTAAACGGACCAGCATAGACAGATTGATGAATACACTAGTGCTTTGGGTAAGTGACAATAAAAATTTAGGTGATACCACGAGTCATTGTTATCTTAATATATTTCCTTTGCTTTTCTGGGCATTTTCTCAGAAGCTTACATTCTCTTTGTGGAGTTTTGCTGCCTTCTGTCTCCTATGATGTGATGAATTTTCAACCAAAGGAAGAATGTATCACGAGAGGTAGATGGGGGCCTTCATGGTCTTGCAAATTCCCTCTCTTCTAAGGATTTGTGTTTGAAAAACAAAACATGATTTTGGTGTCTGATTGTGTTACCTCTGTTCAAATCCTTTCTACATAGCTAATGGGAGGGGAAGGCTGGCTTCATGGGAGAATGGTCCGGGCTGTCAGTGAGGGTCCTGCACTCTGCAGGATCTTATGGTAGATTATTGATCTGTCGTAGCTATCTAGAGATTCTTAATGCTTTTTAACCAGGGACCATGTACTTCATTTTGCACTGGGATGTGCAAATTCTGTGGCTGATTCTGCTGATAGAATCCCAATTATCTCCTTTGTAGAAGTACCTAAACCTCTTTAGTTCATAGTTCTGTCTTATGAATTTTTTTCTTTCTTGAAGTTTTTGAAGTGATTTTGTCTCCCATTCACTTAAGAGATACAGTCAGGTATTTCTCACATTCAGGTTCTTGCTTGTTAATCTTGTGCTACTTTATATTGTTGATCTGATTATTATCTTTCTCTTTGCTTTGTCTTCTTACAGAGGTGCTAAGTTTGAAGGCATTGACTTTGAAATGTGGGAATGGCGGCCTTGAACCATGTTTTCTTATGCACCTCTAAGAGCAAACTTAAAAAAATAATCTGAGCTCAATATATGTGTGTGTGTGTGTGTGTGTAACTGATATGTAATAGTTGGACTCTGAATAAGGAATGAAGGAAATTAATCCTTTCTGGGTACAAAATATTAGCCAGGCTATATTTTGGTTTAAGTACCACCCCTAGACCTGTCTTTCCTTCAGTTATACTTGGTCCCTTGGGGAAGAGCTCATGGGGCTAAGGTGGCCCCTAGATGCTTTTCCTACAATTCCCAATTTCAATGGCACCAACCCCACTTTCAGGGCTTGCATAAGAATTCTGTATGAATCCTGCACAGAGTAAAATGACTGGATCTAAAACAGGGACTGTCCTAGCTGCTTGTATTAGAAATTAAGTAATCTTTTGGGGACTTAGCAGGCAAGTCCGTCTTTAAATTATGAAATTTAATGCCAAGTATCACCAATTTTAATGCTTTAAAACCAATTTTAACAATTAAAAGATGGTTTAAAAAATGGTTACCATGATCTAGGTACTTGATTGGCAAGACACTGATGAGACACAGTTCTACTTAATGTATTTTAAAATTTTTCCCAATTTTGTCTTCTTACACCCTTATTTTTATTCCAGAGACAATAAAGAAGAAAATATTTTTAGAAGGTATGATTATTATTCTTGGACAAAAAAGGAAATAAAAAGGAACACTTCTCTAATTTTGAGCCTCAACTTCTGACAGTGTGACACTTAGAAAAAATCCCTAAGTCATGTTTTCCGCTCAGGTCTTTCCTTGTGTGCTGGGTTGATATCTTTCCTTTCTAAGGCTAAGGATTTTAGACCTCAGTGGGCTGACCTTATGGTCTCCAATCACTCTACTTCCAAAATGTGCATCTTTCTGATCTTGATCCTAATAACAGTGCCATCATTTGCTAACAGTTTTCAAGATGTTTGAGAATTTTTAATTCTCAAAAGGAAATTTTATAGGAGGTGTGATAAAAAATCTGGTGAATAGTTAAGTTAAAAATTTTATTACAGTAAAGAAAACATTACTATTAGTCCCCCATCAAAATATTCTTCTTCACTTCAAAGACACTTAGTCCACCAGCCTTGCCACTTTTTGAAGCACTTCTGGAAATTCTCTTTTTTTAAAATTTTATTTTAAAGAGGATAAAACAATAAAACCAATCAAAACAAACCAGTGTAAGAGATACAGGATTGTAAAACATTACAAAATCAGCAAATAGTTACTATAATGCCTTTTGATGTCTTCAAAATAGCTGCCGATAACTTTGGACACAGTAAAAATCAAACAACAAAACAGAATAGAAACAATTAAAAAAAAAACAATGCAATAAGGGATTTCAAAACAAGCCAATAGTAAATCCAAATTGCTACCATAGTATATTTTGCCATCCTTGAAATAGCTTCTCCTTGAATTTAACATAATCAATCAAAACAGAAGAGAATAAGCCTTAACCTAACAAAATAGTGGAAATGATATGGGACCTCAGAACAAGACCATAGGGAGTCATCAATGGCTGCATTCCTCAGAAGGAGATCCCCCTTAGATGCCACATGGTGTATCACTATCCTCTGATCCCATGATCAGACCACCGGCCCTAGCCCTGCAATTTTAGTGAAACACCAAAGCACCACAGGCATCCAATTGCATCTCACCTCCATAGCTATCATCACAGCCTATGTCCTCTGGATAAGCCGGTTGCTCACAGGGTGGGGGTGGGAGTGGGGGGATTGGTACTTCTTGTTTCCCCGCCTGTGCACTGGAAGGGACTGGGGTCTGGCTGTTCTCAGTCCAGTAGTGGCCCATGCATGGTGCTGGCTCCCAGACTGGGCTTGTTCACTCTGAAAGTCCTCTTTTGTGAGTGTCTTTAGTTGCATTGTTCTGACTGCCCGAATGTCCTGAAATTGATTTCCTTTTCATGGTCATCTGACTTTGGGACACAGTGAGATAGATGAGGACACACCAGTGTTAGCCTGGCTTTCCACTGATAGCACTTGGCAGTTATTTTCAGTCTCACTTGAAAGGACAATCACAGAGGTGAAAGGGACCGTTAGTGATACTCTGCTTGGGCAGTAGAGGTACAGTGGGGCTTTCCAGACCCAATGAGAACACATAGTCTTCTTTGTGTAAGCTACTTAAATATGTGCATTTATCACAAACTGAGAATGTAGTTGTTTACATAGGTGACTGTGGATGAGTCATCGAGCCTTTCTGTGCTTTATTTTTTTAATCCATGAAGTATGGATAATAATTGTTTCTGACTCAGTCAACGGGAGACTGAGAAAATGCATGTCAAATATTTAGCAATGTTTCACACATAAAGTTGTTAAATTTTGTTTGTATGAATTAATGGTAAGAAATAAGAGGTTTGCATAACTTGATATTCAGCTGATGATTTCTTGGAGTTAGAAGTGTAACTAGATAATGTTTATGTGACTAGTTTTGGGTTCAAATTAGCCTTAACTAGCCTTTTATTCTTATTTCAGATTTTTGGGTTTTTGGTATGCTTGGGAATTATTCTTGCAATAGGAAATTTGATCTGGGAGAAAAAAGTTGGAGACCAGTTCAGAACTTTCGTCTTTTGGAATAAAGAAGAGAAGAATTCCGTGTTCTCAGGATTCTTGACGTTCTGGTCATACATTATCATTCTCAATACGGTTGTGCCCATTTCATTATATGTGAGGTAAGATGAGAATTTATGCTTTAATGAAGCCATTTCATCAGGTGTTTTATGCATTCCCTTTTGTTCTTTTAAAAGTTGTCACAGTGGAAGGGACGTCTTGCTCTAACTGCTGATGACCTGCTACGTCTACTATAAATGAGGCAGCTAAGCTTTTAACCAGTTTAACTTCTACATTTTCAAATGACAACAAATGCATTTTATTTTATTCTTGATTTGGTTTCTTAGTAATGATTTTCTTTGGAATATTTGCATTGTAACATAATCTCATGCAACCTGATCAACTAGAATTGGGCTGGTGTGGGGTAAGAAAAAGAACTTCTGGGGATATCTACGTTGATGGGACCTTTCCACCTCTAATGTGGCTGCAGATACCTGAGTGTAGATGCAGCTCTGTAACACTGAGAAGCTTCTTCACCTTCTGGTGTGGAAGACAATGGGGCAAATGGTAGCTCTTTTGCATAGAATTGTATGTGAACTGCATAAATTCCTATAAAGCTCCCATAAGACTGCTTGACGCACTGTGAAAGTTTAATGAATATAACTTTTCCCATTATTAGTAGTGAGTACATAAAGGAGTTAAAATATAGTTGGCAGTGCTTGTTGGCTGTTAGATAAGAAGCGTGATTCATAATTTCCACTACATCTTGACCTCCTGTTTACAGATTTAGAACTAAAACAATCTAGAACTAAACTAGTCTCCCTGCTCTGTGGTCTGTTGTTCCCTCTCTCCTACACATCAAGTCTTTGTCTTCAGTACGTGTGTACACATACATGTGTATACACACATGTGTGTGTGTGTTCATGTCTGTCTTTGGTGGGACTAAGGAGTTGGTCCCAGCATCTGCACTTTGATGCCTCTTCTGTCTTATCCTCTCCTGCCTGGGACACCGGAGCAGAGAAGACTTGGTTGTTCAGCAGCTGTCCTAAGCAGCACTTTAACAGTACCTCAGATCACTAGCTCTGAGCTCCAATAATTTTTACTAGCCTCTCTGTCCCAACACCTTGGGTCAGAGATGTAGCTCCGTGGCACAGAGCCTGCTTGGCAAATGCAAGGTCCTGAGTTGCACTTCTGAAACCAAAAAAAAAAAAAAAAAAAAAAAGAAAGAAAAAAATTTTTTTTCTATCTAACTCCAGCTGTGATGCAGCAAGGGAGTTTAAGGTACACAATCCCCCATTGTTTGGAGAGCGGTCAGGAAACCGAAATGTCACAGTGTGGGAAACTGACGTAAAACAGCAGCCTGTGACCATAGCACCGCAAGTCGCTCCAGGTTCCGGAGCTGAGGTCAGAGTGGCTGCTCCTCAGCGCGTCCTCCTGGCTCGTCTTGGGTTCTGGGTACCTCTCACGCTTGAAGCCAGTTGTAAAGTCTGTAATGAATCCTGCTCGTTGCCAGAGGAGCCCCGGTCAGCGCTCATGGCTTTCCTTTTATGTCCTGAATGAATAATAGATGAGCACAGTCGCTTCCCATCCGCACACGCGCAGTTTCCTCTGTCCGTGTAAAGAAAGTCTATATTGTATATATTCCTGCTTTGAAGTGAATTGATCCACTTTTATTTAGAGATTGATTTTGCTTTTCAGAGGCCAAGGTTTCATTCTCAATTTAGCCGTCCTTCCACTTCAAATGTGCAGTGGTAGCAGGAAACCTGTTTGTAGAGGTCTAAACCCAGTTTCCGGTCCCCACACAGGAAATAATAGCTCTGTGATCTTAGAGAAAGTGCATGGCATCTCCCTGTGCCTCCCTATTCTGTCAAATGTGTGCTGCCTTATCAAATGAGGAATTGCAGTAATTAGCTTTGGGACTTCTGTCTGCGCCAAATAATAAATAACACCACCTTATACCCAATATATTTGTGTGTATGTGTGTGTATTAGAAAAATAAATATATATTTGGGATCAGTATAGCACTTTATTATTTAAACCTATTTCTCATACATGCTCCTTATAATTTTCAAAGTTGCTCACTGATGGTCTGTAACGTACTGTAAGATATGATGCTTTACAGAAACAATATGGGTGTTTTTCTCTTTCTTTTAAAATATTTTGTGTAGGGGCCTGGGGATTTAGCTGAGTGGCATAAGCACCTGCTTTGCAAGCAGGCGGTCATGAGTTCGATCCCTAATACCGGTTTAAAAAAAAAATTTGTATAGAGTGCTTCCCTGTCTTTGCTCAGGATTATCGAGCTACTTAGCGAAGGAACCATGATCCAAACCTTTGACTCTGACAACTGTCACCACATCTTCCCTCTGTCCCCGAGCTGTGCTTGATTTATTATTCAGCAAAGACGTTCCCAGAGAAAGAAGAGGTGATTTCTCTCCAAGGAATGTTAGATTGCTCTGCTGGAAGCCTGGGGCAGGGAGTAAGAGAACTCTTGGCATTTCTGTTTGGAGGGCTCCAGGCTTTCTAAGACAAGCTTCTGCCAGGCTTCTGAGTACGTGCAGGGCAAATTAGCCTCATATGTCACTTGAGGAGGGAAGTGCAGAGTTTACTTTGAATGGCTAACAACTCTAGGTGAGAAGGACATTTATTTTGACAGGATATTGGATGCTGTCAGTGTGTTTATCTGTTATGTTAAGACACACCCAGCTACAAGGGTTGTTTTTCTGCATTAAGAAATGCAGCCATCATTCTCCTGGGGGAGGGGCCTTGAGTGTCCTCCCTGAAGTGTCAGGAACTGTTTCCATGCTGCTTCAAGTAATTTGTGCAGAAATAGCTGCTCTTCTCCATGGGGGTCCGCATCCCATGACCTCTAGTGCATGCCTAAAACTGTAGACAGTTCTGAGATCTGTGTGTTCTGTTTATTTTATACTGCACACACATATCTACGACAAAGGTTAATTTATGTTAGGCACAGTAAGAGGTTAACAGTAATAATTAATAAGATGTAACCATGGTGACATACTGTCATAAAAGTTGCGTGAATAGGGTCAGTCCTTTTCACTCTCAAAAATATCTTACTATTGTGTACTCACCTTTCTTCTTGGATGATGTGAGATGACACTGTGCCCACATGATAAGATGAAGAAAGGTGAATGATATAGGGAGATGATGTCACTTTAGGTTCTCATGTCAGGGTCCTGTAGGCACAAGCACTGCAGTACCACAATAGTCTATTAATCAAGATGGTGGTGATGTCACTGAGTAAGCAGCATATGCAGCACGAATACATTGGAAAAAGGAATGATCTCAGGCCACGGGGAGCAGATAACACGTGAGTTTATTAGGCTACTCAGCATGAAATTTAAAGCATAAAATTTTTAATTTTTGGAATTTTCCACTTAATATTTTTGGATGTCACTGTGGATAACTGAAGCCATGAAAAGTGAAACCCCAGACAAAGGAATAATGCAAAATGTCGTTGTTCAGGTTAAGTTTATCTTGGCATTTTATCAAATACAGAGTTCCAGTCTTGGCTCAGTGGTTAATTATTTGTGTGATCCTGGCTTAGTTGCGTGATCTCTCATGTCTTAAATGTCCTTATTAGTGAAGTTGGTGACTAGATGGCCAGGACTTATTCATTCAACATTGCTGGGATGCACAGGACAGGCACGACTCTGTCCTGGACCCTTTGAGTGAAAGAAACTACAAAACGATGCAGAATTGGCCCAGGTAGTGAGGAATTTATAAAGGTGTGTGTGTGTGTGTGTGTGTGTGTGTGTGTGTGTGTGTGTAGAGGAGGAGGCATAGCAAAATAACCATTACATGAAAATGTAGAAATAAATATATGCAGAGTATGACTTACCTGTGTGTCATATGATTGTACATAGTCACAATGTGCTTTTAATTTATGGGAAAATGTTATCATTCAAACACTTAAACATGGACTGGAACTGTACCATTCTTAGAGAAGAAATATGGACTGTTAGGAGCTGAAGCACAGAATTACTACTCAGGAAGAGCTTGAGTGTCTTCTAATCCATCTTTCTTAGCTTACAGAAGAGAAAGCCAAGACATAATTTCCTCTAAAGTCAGAAATAAATTTACCTCTGCTATTATGATTGCTCTTTTATCTCTGAATGCTGTTGTTAATGTATAAAGAAAATGAAATATCAGCCAACAAAGGAAGACAAAGTTGAATCTGCAATAAACATATGAAAAGAAAAGAACATATACAAGTGATTATAAATCTAGAAAACCAGAAGAACAATCTATAAAACTCTTTGTAGGGTAATTCAGTTCAGTATCTAATTCTGTGAGCCATCTTTTCAAAACATTAAAAGCTTTCTTTTAGACCAATAATAATTTTAAAAACTCATCAATAAAGGATATAATATCATAAATGTATGTGAAAAGCAGAGCAAAATAAAACAAATCAAAACTAAACTAAACTAAAACTCTTTACTGGTAGAGGTGCTTTTAAAAGTTGGATTCCTGGGAAGATTTATTATTCTTCTTGAAGTTATACTCAGCTTTATGAAGTATCGGTTCCTTTCAGAGATTTTAACACAGATCTAAGAAAAATCTCAAATAAATTTTCTAAAAATCCAAATATGTTGGCTTTAAAGTTTATTTAGATGGATATATTCTATCAGGAGGAATAAATAAATAATTACAGCTAACAAGGAAATACAGGTTATTTGACCTCCTCTTGGATATTTCCAGGTTTCCATAAAACTGCAACAATGAAAGCAAGAGATGCATTAAGAATAAAGAAAAAAGAGAGATCCATTAAGTAATACATCGATGAACAAAACTGATATCCGTAAAAACAGTCTGATGAATAATTACGTGTGATAGAAGGCTCTCCAGCCCAAGGGCTCGGTATCCGTCAAATACCTGTCAAAATCTTTCTGTTTGTAAAAATTGAAAATAGCTTCACAGTCAGTGGATTCCAATTGGGATAGAGCAGTAAATGTGAAAAAAAAAATCAGTAAAAGCTAGAAGAAAAACACAGATCTATGCATGTACTGTATAATCTTGACATCAATAAGGCCTGTTTGTGCAAAACTCCAAAGACAAATTCTAAGCTGTTATTAGATTTCATTGGTTAAAAAGAGAAAACTTCATGAAAAACTAGAAACAAAAGGAAAAGACAAATGATAAACTAGGTTGGATGCTTCCATTTTAAAATTTTTTTTGTCATGGAGTTCATAGCTTTAATGTCTATAGAATTTTAAAAAATCTACGAGAAAAAACATCAGAATAGGAAACATGAAACCGGAAGTTATGTAAGCAGATAATTCCAAGGAGAAGTACAACTGGACAATAGCATTTGAAAAAAGTGTTCAGCTCACTGATTTGAAAAAGAAACAGCAGTGAAAGCATTAGAGTGCTCTTTGGCAATTCTCCATGTTCTGAGGTAGAGGCTTACATTGTCATAACCCTTTTGAAGTCAGTTTGCATCATACACGACTAGCATTGAAAGAATTCATGCCCTTAGCCACAGATTTTCCATTTTTAAAGTTGAGAAGTTATAAATCATTGCTAGAGCTTGAACAATGCTCTTTTCGCAGTAAACAGGCGGAAGAGTGAGCCAGCACACCTGCTTTAGCTCAGTAGCTGTTGTGATTCGGTTAGCATTTCATGGAGAGGTATGTAACTTTCTACCTCTTTTGGCAAAATAAAATCACATCAGTGTGTTGGACGGAGCACATTTCTTTAGACTAGACATAGGCAGTGTGATAAGCACTGAATATTAAATCTAAAAATGTATTATAGTAAAAAATATATCACCAGAGGCCCCCTCAAAATACTCCTCCTCGCTTCAGATGCTCTAACCCCTTTTTGCCACTTTCTGGAGGGCTCTTTCATGAGTGTCTTTAGCTGCTCTGTCATGACTAGATTCTCTGCTGAGCCACAGCCGAGGGTCACTAGGACCTGAGACCCCACGTCCACATTGTCTTCTCAGCTCTTGGGACTTTGGCAGACACTGTTCTTTCCAGGGCTTTGTGTGTTCTGAGTTTGACGGAGCATTTTTCTTTTCCCCCTGTTTTGCTGGGCTGCAGTATGGAAGTGATCCGTCTGGTCCACAGTTATTTTATCAACTGGGACCGGAAGATGTATTACCCCGGGAAGGCGGCACCTGCTGAAGCCCGCACGACCACGCTCAACGAAGAGTTGGGCCAGATTGAGTACGTTTTCTCTGACAAAACAGGCACCCTCACTCAGAACATCATGACTTTCAAAAAGTGCTCCATCAATGGGAAGATATATGGTAAGAGACCCCGTTCCTCCTCCTCCCTGATACTGTGGCTGTTCTTTACATCATTCGCAAACAACCGCCCCATTGTTGGCTCTCTCCTTTTTTCATCTTTAAATCTTTGATCCCTTGATTAAGCAGCAAGCATATCACTCTTCCAGGCCAAACGCTGCTTCAGCAAAAAAGAAAACTTTACAAAATCTGCAAAGCACACAATAAAGACATCTCACTCCACATGGGTTGTGTTATGAATGAAGCTGAAACTTCTGCTGTGTGCTCTAATGCATGTAAATAAAGTCACAGTACATCCCTCAGGTCCATCCATCAGTATAAGAGAACTAGATAATAATTTCACATACAATTGAGGACTTAATTTGCTGAAATACAATATCATTAAGTTCCTTGAAAAGGTAGTTTTGAGATAAATTTATGTTTCTAAATACTATTTGCTTTTAGCTAATAGTTGCCCACATTTGGAGACTTTAGAAGGAAATTATATTTTGTCAGATTTATAGAGGCTCTGGAAACCTTTATTGGTACTTTTTTTTTTAACGTGGGCACCTCCAGCATCTTTTCTAGACCTTGACATGTGATGAATGCTCACTAAATATGTTAGTTATTGGGTACATTCTGGATCATTCGGGTGAGACTTTGGACTTGCCATCTTTTACGCGTAGGATGTGGGTGTAGAGGTGGCCTGATCCCCCAAGCTCCTATCAGGGCTCACGCTACGGGATTCTTTCTGTGGTGGCTGGGGAGACCCCTATTTCTTGGAGAACAAGTTCTTGATGGCCAGTTTATCTTGGTAAAAGCCATATTTTATGTTAGTGCATACATCGGTAAGAATTTACTGCTATTCCCTCCTGGGATGTCTCCTTCACAAGGTCACTCTGGCAGGCAAGACAGCTCTTTCACCAATCCTGTTAGTATACTTTTGTCCAAATAACTGCTTTTGTTTGAATTTTCAAACTTTGTAAATGGCTCTTTTAAACCTTTGGTTGGCCAGTGAATAGACAATTCCTTCCATTGGTTTCCTGGACTCGCAACCTCATGCTTCATGGGACTCAAAACCCTCAGGAAATCAAGGAAATCTGGGGGCGGGGCAAAGGCTGGTGGGGGGATATAAAAGGGAGAGAGACATCAACACTTCACTCCTGCTGGGGAAACACAGGGTCAAAGTATGTAAAACCAGATTTGACCCTGAGCAAAGCCAAGAAATATAAGAGGCTGTCATTGCCTTTCTCCTTACCCCCATCACTACATCCCCTCAGCCTCCCCCTCCCCCGGGTGTCCCCTGCCTCCTTTGGCAGGTGGTGCGATGACTTTAGCTAGGACTTTGTCGAGCCCTCAGCTGTACTGTGCATTTCCTGAGTACCGCATCAGCTGGGGAACACTGCAGAAGCTCCTAAAACATTTTCTTTGGATGGCAAAATGTTGCTTCACCTCTGCTCGTGGTTTACATGAGAATTTTGAATTTGGGGGATGCTGTGGCTTGTTTTGCCACATATTAATCTAACAGTATCCTTTCCAAGAAGCAATCTGAAAAAAATTATCAGACCAGTGGAGCAAAGTGCATTTGTAGAATTTACTGCAGGGCTGTTTCTAGCGCCGGCCCTTGGCTTGCACAGGTGTGCATCTCGGGGGCTTTGCAGGTCTCTGGCTCTACAAATCTTGTGACAGCTTGTAATTTTCCTCATGAAATACAAGAAAGTAACTGAAAGATTTAAGTATCCTCCATCCCTCTAATTTATATGCCCTGATAATTTATATGCCACTGCGATATAGCCCTGCGAGAGCACCCCAAGAACATTTCGGAATTATTTCTCTTGTGTTTGTACACCTTGGGCTTCTTTATGTTACTTATCTGGGCCCTGAGAGAATCTGCCATTCCGCTGTGGGCTATGTAAATCTTCTGCTTTTGGGATTAGAACTGTGACCTCAGTAGACTTTAATTCTTCTTCACTCTCCTCGCCAGCCAAGTAAAGGGGTTACCTTGGGGGGCGGGAGCCACTGCACCCACAGGCAAGGCTTCTTCTTTTTATCATTTTTGTGAGTGTGACTGCATGTGGGGTAATGGCAAGAACAGAACCACAGTGAAGTTGAGATTTAAATTCTGGGAGCCCGGAGAAGTTCATTCACCAGCCTGGGACTCCTCTGTGCAGATTCAGGGCTGCACCCCACAGTAGCCAGCACTGTCCATCACGTGCCTTGTGGTCATGGCACTGTGTAGAGAAAAGAGAGAGAAAGACCCAGCTCCAAAGGCCGGCCATGCTGACTTTCCTACCTCAGTCTGAACATCTCACTTTAAACTTTCTCAGGGCTCTAGCCACAAAACAGAAATGAAAACCCTCACTCTGAAGTTCATTATGAGTTTTAGTAATAATATAAGAGCCTGGCACAAGGTTGATGCAAGTAACTCCTTATTACAAGAAATATAATTCTGATAGATAGCGTTACACCTTCAAATGCCAAGGACAAATTGGACATACTTGACTTCTCTGCAGTAGGAAAAAGCTGAAATAAATTATGCTGTTGGGTAACTATGGGTTACTATATCATGCTTCAAAATAAGAATCAGAAAGCCTTTTAATGTGAGGAGAGTTTCTCACCCTTTACATAAAAAACCCAGCAAGAAGAAGAGATTTAAAATAACAGCATGATGAAAACGTGTGTGTATACACATGCAAAATCAACTCTGAGCAAACCCTGAAGTTATTTTATCTCTAGATGACGAGACTATTAGTAGTTTTGTTTTCTATGATCAATGTCCTATATTTTTACATGGAGCTCTAATAAGCACATGTCAGCTTTGTACCAAGCAAAATCATTTAAGTTTCTGGTGCACTGAAGAGTAAGTTCTCTGCCTGTAGATGGCATGGGAATTATTGAATTAGACTTAATATTTACAGATGCATCTGACTCTAACCAAGATAGGCATAAAAAAGGAAAAAAAAAGGTACTCACCAAGCTCTGGTGTAGATAACAATTGTTCCAAGATCCCATTTTGGATTTCTTAACAGTGAGCATAATATGGACAATAAATTTTACCCTTTGCATCAGAGACTATTAACAGTGACAAAATTTATAGAAAAACATGAAAAATGTGCCAGTTTAATACTTTGCTTTAATGCCTACTTCACTTTAGTTCTGTCTTAGGCAAACACAAGTACCTTCTGTATTAATAGCTATGTTTAGGGTACAGATGCATCATTCTCTGTTTGAATTTCTGTTCCCACCCAGTAACACTGCTTTAATAAGTGTATGCTATAAAGTCTAAATCCAGTTTAAATTGACTTGCTTTTGATTCTCAACTTTGCTTTGACAGGTGAAGAACATGATGACCCAGTTCAGAAGAGAGAAATAACTAAGGTATAGAAGAGAAAATTTCATGTCTAGTTTTGATTTTGAATTTTAGGTGCTTTTTAAAAACATATGTTAAGTTCTCAAAGATCTAGTTTCCACTATAACTAATGAAACATTTAATGTATAATGTTAAAAAATAGACTAATATGGTTCAAAGTTTCTCCTCAACCAGGTTCCCACAAAACAGTTTCTTGTGTTTTTAAAAATTCTCTAAAAGATACTGATGCAAATGCAGCTCCCAGGTTTTCCAATAGGTGGCAGTACACATATCATCCCTCAACTTTCTTTTTGACCTGGTGTCTTGGGAACTGTTCTAAATAAGTGTTTTCAAGTGCTTTCTCTTTTTCGTGGCTGTGAATAGTCTTCTGTTACACTGATATCGCATGCTTTACGAAATACGAATGGACATTTAAAAGGTTTTCCATATTTTGTTTGTAAAGAAAATGTGGAAGAATCCCTGGGTATACATGTTATTTCACATGTATATTATTTTTTATACTTGAGAGACAATACGGTATTTACAAATGTGAGTCTGATATATTTCACTTATGAGGATAGTCTCAAGTTGTCTCTATTTACCTATAAAAGCCTCAAGACCATCATTTTTATAGCTGAGTAATATTCCATTGTATAAAAATACCAAAAACTGAAAGAGTAAAAGATCCAAAATGTATATTAGACATTGTGATAATGAAAGGGAAAGAAAGTTCTCTAAAGGACATAATTGTATGTACGTTTAAGTGTGCAAGATAGATGTCCATATTACTAAGTTTTTGTTAGTTCATCAAACAGAATGGTTTGTACTGTCATTGTATGATTGTCCACTTTTTATGCTTTGATTTTGTGACTTGAGCAACTACTTCTAAGATAACAATATGTAATTCATCAACTAGGGATTTCTTACTATTTTTTTGAAATACTGTATTTCAAAAAAAAAGAAATACTCTATTTCTACCCTTTTTGTTTTGCTTTTTTTCTCTAAATATAAAAAAGAAAGTATAGAATCTATTTCTAGAAATAGAACTCTAAATCAAAATAAATATGTATTTGTTTGATAAATATCACAAATTATACTCTTTAGGATTTATAACAAGTTTCCCTGACACATTTTTACTTCTTCCATTCCAATTCTGATGACTTTGATTTCTGTTCTCTGCATAGGGCTTCTAATATTATTTGAAATAAAGTGATCCTTGCTTTGCTCCTGATTTTAGAGGAAAAGCCCTCAATTTTCCTTTGTTGATTATGATGTTAGCTATGGGATTTTCATATATGGCCTTTATTATGTTAAGGTGTGTTTCCTTTTCTCAGTGTCTATGTCATGAATGGGTATTGAATTTTGTCAAATGGTTTTTCTGAATCTATTGAGATGGTCACATGGTTTTTAGTCTTTTTTCTGTTAACATGGTATTTCACATTGGTTTATGTTCATATGCTGAACCATTCTTGCATACCAGGGATATGATTCTTCAATGTAATGTTAGGTTCAATGTGCTAGTATTTTTTTGAGGATTTTACATTGGATCCATTGGAAAGCCTGTGGTTTTCTTTTTTGTGTGGAATCTTTGGCTTTGATGTCAAGGTAATGCTACCTCATAAATTGAGTTTGGGAGTTGTATAGTTCAGTTAACTGTGTAGGCTTGATTGTTCGGTGTTGTGGATTGAAAACTGATGGTCAGTTTAAACACCAGCTGAGGATTGTCACCCACGTGCAAAGGAGTCCGGAGAGAGAGTAGCATTGTGGGCTCTCCTAAGCGTTGTTGTTTGGAGCTGTTGGTTCTCCTGGAGGAGCTCGTCATGCTGGCTTCCATGCTGTTTTCATCAGAGGAGCTGGGGACCTTGTTGGTGAGAGTGGCTATGGTTCACTTTGGAGGAGCTCTGGGCCTTACTTTGAGCTTTGCTTCCTGGCTCTGTGGAGTAAGATGTGTGTTGTTTAATCTCCAGGAGAAGCTTGTCACGCTGGCTTCCTGATACTTGACTATTACACCTTGCTGAAGCCAAGCCTGATACTTGGCTCCCTGATACTGGATTTGGCTGTTCTCATCACTGGAAGATCTTGGGACCTCGTTGTTGCTGAGGACAGCTGTGGTACTTTTTGGGGCAGCCCTGGTTCTTATCTTGAACGTCACTTCTTAGCTCCAGTGCTCAACTCTGGACTGGCACAGCTCCTTCATCCCACTTGCACAGACTTTCTAGCTTCCACTGCTGACCTTTGGACCTTCCCAGTGCAGATCCGTGAAACATACTTGCTTGAGTCATTGTCATGAGCTGTAGATCTGCAACTGGACTCGTGGGAGGCATTGTCATGGCCTCTAGGTCTTCAGCTAAACTCATGCAGGACATTGCCAAACCAGGCTCTTGACTGGATTCTCTAAGTCTTTAGGGTGTGGACAGATTTCCTACACTTTCTTTGTATTTGATTCTGTGGGTGACCATTATAAATAATATAAATTCTGTGTCCTGCATGTAATTGTTTTCCTTGCCACCCCTGACTGCAATCTTTGGGTGCCGGTAGGTGCATGGTAAAGCGCATTTCTGGGTGTGCTGAGCGGCTCACAGAGGCCTGACTGTGTATGGTTTCATTGCCAGGGTTCCTCTGCTCTGTTTCCTGGTCACCATGAGCTAATCATCTGCACCACCATTGCCTTTGCCATGATGTTCCTGTCTTGGAGCCAATTGACCGTGGGTTCTCTGAGACTCGGAGTCAAATTAAACTTCTTCTCTTTGAAGTTATGGATGCTGGGTGTTGTGTCTCATCAGTGGGGAAGCTGAGCAGGATGGGAGGGTCCCACTTTAATTTTGGGAGAGAGTTAGAAGGAGTGGCATTAGTTAGACGCTAACTATTCGCTAGGTTTTACCAGTGAAGACATCCTAACTTGCGTTTTTCTTCATTAGGAGGTGTTTTGTTTGTTGCTGTTGTTTTGTTTTGAGACTTGCCATGTGTCCAGGATGGTCTTGGACTCTGGGGCTCAAGAGATCCTCTTGCTTCAGCCTGCAGCATGCTGGGTTTATAGATATGAACCACCATGTCTGGCTTTGTTGAGAGGCTTTTAGTTACTGATGTAATTTCTAGAGTAACTCTTGTTCTATTTAAGTTTTTTTATTAGTTAAGTTTAAAGATACACTTTAGGTATACATAATGCTCACATTTATCATAGGGAATTTATACCTGTACATGATACAATTGATCTTTTTGAATACTTCTTTATCATTTAGATTTGGTAGGGTGTTTGTGCCTAGAAATGTGTCTAGTTCTGCTAGTATATCTAGCTTGTCAACATACTGTAACTGTTCATAGTGGTCTCTAAGGATACTTTACATCTGTTATCAGTTCAATATTTCTTCTTTCCTTTCTGATTTTATTAGAATTTTGTGTCTTTTTCCTTGGTTAGTTTATGTTGTATTCAATTTTCTGCTGCTATAATAGACTCCTTGAGACTAAGTAATTTACAAGAAATCTCTTTAGGTCACAGTTGTGGCAGCTGGGAAGTGCAAGAGCACAGTGCTGACATCCGATGAGGACCTTGTGGTGCTTCATCTCATAGTGGAAAACTGGGAGAGCAGTAGGTGTGTGCAGCAGAGCTTCCATTTATGAGATCGTAAGAATGGACCTCTTGTTAGAGAGGTGTTATCATTCATTAGAGTAGAGCGCCCACAACCTAAAAGGGCCCTCCTCCCAGGACTGCCATAATGGTAATTAACAGAGTCAAGCATAGCTTTCTAAGGGTTTCTCAATTTTATGTGTACCTTCAAAAAACCAGTTCTTAATTTTGTTGATTTTTTTCCTGTTGTTTTTCTAGTTTGTATTTCATTTCTTTCTGGCCTTATATTTGCTACTTCTTTGCTTTTGATGGACATGTTCTTCTTTTGCTCTTTTTTTTCTAGCTCTCTAGAGTATTAAGTCGTATTAAAACGTTCCTTCTTTTTAAATGTTATTTATTGCTATGAATTTCTCTCTTAGTACTAGTTTGCCGCATTCCATGAATTTGGATATGATGAATTTTCATTTTTGTTCATCTTGAAATATTTTTGCATGTATTTATTCTTTGAACCAATGGTGGTTCAAGTGTTGTTTAATTTCAACATTTTTGTAAAGTTTCCACTTTTCCTTCTGGTATTGATTACTAGCTTCATTCTGTTGAGGTCAGAAAACAAAACAGAATTTCAGTCTTAAATTTGTTTAGATTTCTTCTGTGTCCTAACACATAATCTATCCTTAAGAAAGAGCACAGTATGCTGGGTTTATAGATATGCACCACCATGAGACAAATTTCTTGAGACAAATGACATTTTCTATTGGATAGAAGGTTCTATATATTTTTGTTAGGTCCATTTGGTTTATAACACGCATGTCATCTGTTTCCTTACTACTTTATTTAATTAAACTCTTTAAGGCAATGTCCTCTATCTCTTATGAATTTTTTTTAACCTTTGTCTATTTTTGTCTGTTATTAATATGGTCCCCCAGATCTTTTTTGATTAATTTTACATGGAATACCTTTTTCATCATCACTTTAGTTTCAGCCCATGCATGTCCTTAATTATAAAGTGAGTTTCTTGCAGGCATCATGTAGTTGGGTCAATTTTCTTTAAATTTTGATTTTTTTTTTTTTTTACTTATTTAGCTGCTGTATGTCTTTTGTTTGGTAAATTTAATCTGCTTGCAAAATAATTATCGGTAGGGAAGGATTTACTATTGCTCTTTTGTTATCTACTTTCTTTGTAGTATAGTTCCTTTGCCTGTCATTTCTTTTATTTCCATTTTTCTCTTTGTAGTATATTGATTTTTCTAATATTAATACACTTTGGTTTTTTATGTTTTTTTTGCGTAAGTTCTAGAGATATTTCTATGTTTATTTTGAAAATGATGTAAGTTATGTAGTATACTTAACAGTCTAATTTAAGTTTGTAACAATTTAATTTCAATTACATACAAACACTATTAACTTTTTCCCTACACTTTTTGTTCTTGTTATCCCAATTTATATCTGTTCATACTATGCATC